ACTATAAGCATGTTTTCAATTATGAAATAGTCATAAATTTTCTTAGAAATATAGTATCCAGTAAGAATTCTCAACAGAAAAACATGCATAAATAATGAGGTGTTACTCCAGTCTAGGAGACTAGAATTTGATAACGAATTAATCAAGGATCTAATGACTTCATATTGAATCGATAATCAGTTTGCTAGTTCAAATTATTCATGATAAAATTGTATCATAATAACATTAAATTAAAGACCCGCAAGACAGATATAAAACTGCACAGAAATACGTTAATTACATTCCATGAATTTGAAAACTGCAAAAACCTTCCTACAAATTTTTTTTTAAATTTCATGACAAAATTAAACTCTTTTGTTTTCAAGAGATAGCGCATCAAAGATAATTTTTTAAAATCGAATTTTAGCTATATCTTTTCCAAAAAACAGCGTAATACATTGAAATTTGATACGAGCAATCAAAATTTTAATTACTTGATAAATATGTTTATTTCCTTCCAAGACAGCTATACTTGAAGTGTGGCCTATTCGCTTCCGAACACCCTGTATACTAAAGAAAATAAGCTGTTTGATTTTGGTGGCGTTTTTCTCAAAAACTGTCCGTCTTCATTGATTTCCAGTACCCTTTGTAAGTGAAATGAAATTATAATATACGACTTACACTGTCAAAAACCTAACCTCAAAATAGTTGTGTCATAAAATGTCACAGGGAAGGGCGTAGCTAGGAGTCTCTAGCGGATGCTCAAAATCTGATAACACTAACACCAGAAACATCAAAAAAACTTACATGTATCAAATTTCAATGTATTATGCTGTTCTTTAGAAAAAACATGGTTACAATTTGACAAAAATGTGACTGGACTATACTTTCCCGAAGGCCTTCGACGAATCCGACCTGAGAACTCCTCCATCACGTCAGGTTTTAGAGATATCCTAGCCTAGAAGTGCGAAAAAACACGGTTTTTCGCTATATTTGAGGTTATGTTACATCACGAGGTAATTTTCCCCCATAAAACTCGTTGTGACATCTGAATGCATTGCTCTTCCTCTTTAAAAACCATTTTGAACGATCAGTCTCTGAATTTATATATCTTTTTTCAAAAAAGGAGGTTATTAAAAAATAATATGAATTTTATAGATTTATTTGCCAAAACACTTTTTTTATTAAATAATTCATTGGGGTTTAAATATGGCACCAGCTCCCTCAATTTTTTAAAATTTGTATACACCACTGATTCAAATCGTTTATAGAAATGGTATAGTCTTTCTGATCTCAATTTATTACAATTGCGAAAGGGAGAAATAAAAGGGATATTTTGTTTACTAATATTATAACAACATGGGCTTTTGGGGACCTTTTGAAACGGAACAAAACGAAATTTACCATCAATATAATAAAACTGTTTGGGGACATAAATAATTAAAATATGTTGTTGGTCAAATAACATATAATATAAATTTTCTACACATTATATACAAATTATTATAATTAATAATTTAGGGACGCCTATGAAACTCATTAAATTTTATTGCTAGGCGTTTTTATATACGTTCAACTGCCTTCGGAAAGACTTATACAATGTTTTTTGTTTACAGGGAGCCACCCTGTATAACAATGACATGTGCGCTAATTATAATATTTCTTTAATTTTATCACCGCCGTTCTTGCGGTGACAGTCGACATTCTGACAGACCCTTCCGGTTACCCCTGGTGTTACACGAGCCAAGAATACACTCTTTGTATCATTGTCCCCCCCTCCACCGATACACCGTTTCTGTACTTGATGTCGGAGTACGTATAATGGAAATCGTGACTTGCCGCAGACGTTTGCCGTTCCCCGCGATACATTCCTATTTTTATGCCACGGCTATCATTTTTCTTCACATACGGGACACCACGAAATTTCAAAACACAAGTGAAATCGAATTTTATAGTTGTTATAAAGCTACCACATAAAATAATTAATTAATTGTAAACATTTTATAATTTATTAAAATGTAGATTATGTATTTGATTATTCTGATGAACATTTTGTTCTGCAAAAAGAAACTGTCCGCCATAGTGGAATTAGTAGTCGATAATTAGGTCTTCTGGAATGACACGGAAACAATGACATTTAAATGTCATCACGTCGGACAGCGACTATATTTATCGAGATGTTTGAATTTAAATTACATCCAGTGGGGGCGCGACGAAATATTTCTTACGTCAATTACACAAAAAAGAAAAAATCCGTTCTAAATCTAAAAACATCACATACGCCTTTTGATTCTCTGTATCATCAAGCGCAACAAATTTTGTATGTATAGAGTAGGACCAATATTAATTTCAGTAAGTTGAAAGCTCTTTGCATATCTTGACATTCGCGAACTTCGCCCTTAAAACCATCAAAATGAAATGCGTGTATTAAAAGTCGGCATAATAATGAGGGACTTAAAAATCGACCAGTTACTAGTATGTATAAAATTAAAACATTAAATAAATAACGACTTTTTACTAAACTTATAAGTTACAATCGCTAGTGGGACTCTAATTTAATATTATTTATAATCACTTTTAATTTGTACCGTCATTAAACAAAATAGAAACATTTTAATATATCAAATAAAATATACCAAATGTCAATCACAAAGATCAATTTTAATAATAAAATCAGTTCTGAATTGTTTTCCTCTATGTTCATATTTATTACAGGCTTAATAAATTTGGTGACAGACATCAGATGAAGTATTTTAATTAAAAATATTTATATAAAACTCCTTTAATAAAATATGTTTTATTGCAAAGATTAAGAATATAATAGGTACATAATTAATAATTACGCATTAATAAACTTTTCACAATTAAATCTACATAATGAAAATACAACTCATTTTAGAACAGGAGGTATTTAATTATTCCCAGAAAATTTTAAATTCTTATTAGACATGGCAAAGGTCTATATTTACAGTGTGTCGAAGATAAGGATGGGATAGTATTAGGATCTAGGAAACGGTAAGAGATACGGGGTGGCTCAAGTTAGAAAAAAGTTGTGTTTTTTTATACGTAACAATCTGCCGTTTGAAAAGTTTTAAAATTCCGGGTAGTTCCGGAGATATCCGGAAAAACCCAAAATTTTGCAAAATTATATTACATATTCTTTTCTGACTTTATTTGAAAACGAATTTTAAAATAAATTGCATATTTATATTGCCACTTTTTTCGCTCTATCTAATGGCATCAACATTTTTGCAATCCGACGTTTCGCCTCCAAGGGGCCTTCATCAGGTTCATATTTTTTAATACGTCGCTGATATTTTTATGACAAAATCTAATCATTTAAATTTAAATTTTCATTTAAATCATTTCAATTTATCATTTAAATTTTTGGAAGAAGTCATAACAGTTTAAAAGTCAATACAGCACAAATATCTAACAATTTTTTTTAATCAATGATTTAAAAAAGGTGTACCTAATAAAAAAATAATGCGAATTTGTGAAAAGTTTTATTTCTAATTAGTATTGCTAATACATAGTAGCAAAAAAAAATATTGGATATTTTGTGCTGTATTGACTTTTATACTATTATGACTTCCTCCAATATATATTTTGAAGCCCTTTAGAGCCGTGTTCAGGAAAAAATTAAATGACAGCTAAAACAAACTAAAACCCGTTTTAAGTGATTACAATAGTAATATCATCTAAATCAGAATTAAATATGACTAGATTTTGTCATAAAAATAGCAGCGACATATTTAAAAAAATTAAGCTGATGGTGGCCCCTCGAAGACGAAACGTCGGATTGCTAAAATGTTTGCCAACATCTGAGGCGTGACCGACCTAACCGCAACCATTATTTTTTTTCAATAAAATTCACAATGCCAACTATGGATAAATTTGGTAAGTTTTTATATCTTCTTTTTAGTTGAAAATGTTGAAAAAGAACACTGAAATTGTTTTTGCTAGCCTGAAAGAACAAAACGCTGTTTTTATATTTTTGTTTGTTGTAACAAATTTCGTTAAACAAACCATTAATTTTTGCAATAAATATTAAAACCATAGCCTTTTTGAATAGGCAATGAAAATACCTTTCAGATGAGGTATCTCATTTAAAAATTTAGGGGTTGCAACTGCCACTCGAAGGGGTTGAATTTGGGGATGAAATGTTTACGATACAAGATGTCATTTCAGAATCCACAATCGACGTGTCTCGGGATTTTTTATAAATGTGCACAATTGAGATACTGAATTTATTCCATTTGGCTGTTCCACACTGTATATTTACCTCATGCAATTTATTAGGGCCTTTTAATAATAGTGAATTGAATACAAAGACGGAATATTTATTATATCAAAAGTATTTCTCATTCTTTTAAAATTGTGAAACTATTCAACTTTCTAACAGAATAATATACAAGGTGCCCAGAAATATGTGTCTAATTTAACTCATAAAAAGCATTAACTTTTGACTAATATTTTTCAAACTTCAATGGGAACTAATTAGTACTAGCATTTAGCGTTTAGATTAGTAAAAAAATTTAAGATGGTCATTCATCATTCCATAAAATATTACGCTTACGTTACTCTGATATTTCTTTAATTCATAGACAATTCGTTGGGGTTATTTTAATAGGTACATACTTTACAACAATGTGAGTTTCCAAAAAAAATTATTAGACAAAAGTTGTTGCTTTTGATGAGTAAAACACATTTTGGCACTTATTTCAGAAACACTCTGTATGAAAGTATGCAAGACTTGGTTTAAGAGATTCAATGTATTCTTTTTCTGTGGTTTTGAAGTTGCAAGGAATTTCCCACAATAACGTAAACTTATTATTGAGGAATAGAGGCGCGAAGTTGCACTAAGGCCAATTTTAAACATGAAAATATTAATCCCTGCCAATATTCACCATAACTGGTAAACTTCAATTTAATTCTTTGTTTAAAAAACGATTTTCATACATTATGGCTCTTATATTTAAATTCTGGGTGATTTAAAATAGTTTTTAAATCTGACTTACCAATTTTGGTTTCTGCGTCGGTATTCTGCTGCAAACAAATCTTGTTCGAGCAGTAAAATCTCAATCTCCACCGAATTATAATACATCGTGATATCCCTGCAATCTGTCATCGGAAAATAAAAAAAATAAATGACTAAATAAAATATGAAAATATTGAAAATTAATAGACCTTTTTAGTAGTGACGTCACATACGCCAAATAATAGGCAAACCCATAGTACACATTGTCATGAACAATTCAGTATTTTTACTAGATCGATTTTCGATCTTATGTATTTTGGTCATAAGTGCCAAAAAAATGTCTTCTTTGTCATGACCTTAAATATCGCGATATTGGGTCAATATTAGAAATATTTAAGAAGTTTCAAATCCCAAATGACAAACTAAAACAATTATAGAATCTATATTTTTAAATTTATAGAATATTTACCTTTATAGTAATTAATAAATTAAAATTATAACAATGTTACTGAGCATGCGCATTAAATAATTTCATGTAAGCGAAGTAGCCTCGCAACAGGATACTATTCAAGAAAAGTTTGGTACTGGTTAAAGGTAGGTCTATAATAAACCACTTGAAAAAAAAAAACACTCGATAAACAGACTGACACAGCAGAGCACTAAGAAAAACAATAAAAAATACTTGGTAGAACTAGAAAATGCCAAGATTAAACAAAAGAAGAGAAAATACGCTAATGATGAGAGCGATGATATATCAACAAGATCTCACCTGAGGCTACTCTTCCCGAGCATGTGCATTAGCAATAACACAGAAAATGTTAAACTTATACTTTATTTAAATTTAGGAATTTTTTTATATATTTTTTTTGTAAATTTTAAGCACATTAGTGTATCTATTTTACGAAACACGTGTTGGCTGTTCTTAAATACATCTAAATCCTTGTAAAAATAAGTTAATTTGAAATTGTTCATTTCTATAGTATCTATGTAAATAGTACACAAGGGTCTGATTCGATATGTACAATTTCAACTACCTATGACAATTTGTTGCAGGTTGCCTAAATATGTGACGTCACCCTAAAAGAGTGTATTATAGTCAACAAGCGCAAATTATTTAAAAACAATTTCTAAGAAGAATGTAACTTTCTTAGATATAAATTCATATAAAAATATATTTTAATACTAAAACCTTTAAAACATTTACACAAATAATTTACTACGCCTCTGTGTCATACCGTGAATAATACGTTACCAATCACGTTAAAAACAACGCAATAAAAAAGTAGATCCCAGTTTAGGAAATAACAGATAGTTGATTATTATGTAAAAAATAACCCAAATATTAATTAACAAAACAATGTATTTTTCTTGGGAATGATATTAAATTCGTTTAAAACATATTTTAATACTAAACAAGTATCTTTAAAACATTTACCAGAATTTTAGGAAAACCGATTGCTGTTATTAAATATGTACTAAAATTAATGACCAAAATGCCTGCAATCAGTTTTTATGTCAAACTGAAATAAAATATTCTCGATGTTAAACAAATAAATAAATAAAAACTAACGACGCCTCTGCGTCATCTCGTAAATAATGTTACCGACCACGCTCAAATAAATTGTATTCCTACGCGAACGAAAAGTAGATCTCAGTTTAGAAAATATTAGATTATACTTAATTACCATTTGTTTAACAAAATTTTAGTGAGATCATGATGCGTTATTAATTAGAGTCTAACTCTACATATAATTGTTTCCAAATTTTTGCTGCTACTTACTTTACTATTCAGTTATATCAAAAAACCAGATCTGGATACCACGAGTTTATTCCCGTTTAAAAAACTATTACAGTTTCACTGAATACACACAACACTATTCTTGAAAAACGAAATTCGCACGCCCGAACAATTTTTATCATTTTAACACGCTTTAGGTACACCGTAAACTATATTCGCACTAAATAACCAAGTCACACCTTTGAATGAAAAGACAAGTGCATAGGTACAACGCCTATTGGTAATTCATACGCGCTTGTTGTACGAAAAATAGATCCGAGAAAGAAGCTTTGACTATTAATTTCTAGTATATACAAGGCAACCTAAAAACAGATTTTGACGCGTACCAAAAATGTTATTCGCGAGAAATTGTTAATAATTTAATATTTTTGTATTAAATGTTCTAGGAATATTTTACCCTGTACCAGTATATTTAAAACACCGACCACCTTCCTTATTTATCCAGGTTATTTCATCCGAAGGTGCAGCAGAATATAATTTCAGATAAAGATTAAAAACTTGTTTACTATTAAAACCGTTCTGATAATTATATTTGTGTGGTGTAATAGTTATTTTTCAGCGATTCTACTTTGGGAAATTGCTCCGTTTACTTTTCTAATAATTTTATAATTATTATTGCGTTACGAGATCAAGGTTCAGTTTATTTTTAAACTAGTCAGTAATACCTAACCCTATTTAAGCTTTTGAAGAAATGAAATACGTATTCGTTTTCATATCACTCAAGTGAAAGGGTGGTAAACTGAAATCAGATGCTACAGCTTCGGTGAAATATAGTGGATTAAATCATATTGACACAGCGTAAGGAAAATAAATATTGCATAGGATTAAGATCAATATGAATTCCTTTGATTTGAGCTATCCAGAAAATTGTTGAAATTCAGCAGTTGCTGGTGCCAGTAACCTATCTCATTCAACCCGTTACCCGTTAAACGCTGGCCAGAGCCCGAACTGGAATAACGACCGAAGCTTCAGTTCACAGAATATCATTACTATTCAGTCCACGAGTAGTGCCGAACCAGGCACCCTGTCATTCTTGTCTTTCTATATACTACACACCCTTTTTTGCTTGAAAAATAACAAAAAGTATAGCCCTCCTCGTTTTTTATGTTTTTTCGAGTTATTCTATATTACTTTACACACGGATTATCCGATTACCGCATTATATATTTTATGCAAATATGCTCTGGCAAAATGGCTTTTAGTTCCTTTTCCTATAAAGTACATACAGGGTGGTTCAATTTCAAACTCCACACTGGATCTTATAAATTACCAAGAATAGAATTGCGTCCAAATATTAAAATAATGAGGATCAATCATTATTAATAATAATCATTATTAAAAATATAAACACCTACAAGAAAAATTTACATATTTTAAGTTAGAACAGTACCAAATATGATTTTTTCCCATGGACCATGGGTCTATCGTCTTTTGTTTTTTGGCATACAGGGCATGATCTTTGAGAATTGAATTGAAATTGTCAGTGTTATTCACTCAGTGGCATTTTATGAGGTTTTGAGGTTAGGCTTTTTTATTGTATATGTCTTGGAATGTAAAAATTTACAGGCAGGCAAAAAAATATTTAATTTTTTTAGAGGACCTAGATTGTATTGAAATTGATCTAACTGGTTTATTTTAATGCAAAGAAGATCCCCTTGAAGTATCTCCCATTCGTTTACAGACGCTCTGTATATTATGGACAAGCTGGTTGGAATAGTCAATTGCGTTTTTCTCAGAAGTTTTTATTCTGATACTTACATCATAAAAACCTAACCTCAAAAAAGTTATACCATAAAATGTCACTGGGAAAGAGAAAACAAGCTAACGCCCCATAGAAGATAGTCAAAATATTGTTTTTCGGAATAGAAATTACTAAAAAGTTATGTTAGTCAGTATTAAAATGGACAGAAAAAAATTTGTTTTAAGGTTTATTTCCATATAAGGAAGTTATCTTTGAAGTATGACCCATTCATTTCTGGATATCCTGTATATTAGGGAATAGAAGCTGTTTGCTTTTGGAATGGTCAATTCAATTGCGATTTTTTCAAAAACTGTATCATTTTTAAGAAACATTAAATTTTAAATTCATATTAATATAAGTACACTGGAAATAATTTAATTTCAAAAAAGTTCTGACAGAAAATATCACGGGGTTCAAAAATTTACGTGTATTATACCAAATAGACTCTTAGTGTGATGTCACATATTTAGGCAAACCGCCACAAATTGTGCAGACCGAATCTGATCCTTGTGTACTATTTACATAGATACTATAAAAATGAACAACTTCAAATTAATTTATTTTTACAAGGATTTAAAAGTATTTAAGAACAACCAACATGTGTTTTGTAAAATAGATACACTAATGTGCAAAAAACGATATAAAAGAATATTCCTCAATTTAAATAAAGTAAAAATTTAACAATAGCCGTGTTATTCCTAATGCACATGCTCGAGAAGAATAGCCTCATACGCAGATGAGATGTTGTTGATATATCAGCACTGTCATCATTAGAGTATTTTCTCTTCATTTGTTTAATTTTAGCATTTTCTATCGAGTGTTTATTTCTTCAAGTGGTTTATTATAGACGTACTCTTAACCATAACCAAACTTTTCTTGAATGATATCCTGTTGCGAGGCTACTTCACTACATGAAATTATCGTTAATGCGCATGCTCACTAACATTGATATAATTTTAATTTATTAATTACTATAAAAGTCAATATTGTTCAATAAATTTAAATATATAAATGCTATAATTCCTTTAATTTGTCACTTGGGGTTTGAAACTTCTTAAATATTTCTAATATTGCCAGAATATCGCGATATTTAAGGTCATGACAAAGAAAACATTTTTTGGCAATTATGTCCAAAGTACTTAAGGTCGAAAATGGATCTAGTAAAAATACTGAGAAATTCTTCATGACAATGTGTACTATGGGATTGAATATTATTTGGCGTATGTGACATCACTACTAAAAAGATCAAGGCCTTGTACATCTATTCGGCATTTAACGAAAAGGCGTCATGCTTCAAATATGCATCAGTTCATAGTTGGTTGCATACTTTCTTAGTGTATAATGCATTTATTTAAATATATCGATCTGTAATATTAATCTTTCGTTTTTGTATTTGAAGTTTTATTTAGTTAATTCGTCTATTGTAGATTAAAATCCAATTTGAAGATTTGTCCGCTAAAAAAGGTATCGTCCAGGTGCACGCCATGAGACATGAGGCCAAGGTGCAGGCCTTGAGTTTCCCTCACCTTTTGTTTAATGAAAGTAGCGGCACCGCCGCGCGACCAGTTTGGTTATGGTGAAGAAGTGAAGCTAAAGTGTTATTGAATTAAAAACGTATTGGTGTTCTACAAATACAAATGTTCTGTAAACAAACCGGAAAATGCCTCGAAAATTACTGAAATTCCTGATATTATTCGATAATACGTCGTTACTTTACTTTCCTGGACAATTTTTATCTGGGAGAGTCCTCATTGAACTTCAAGATGACACACCTGCACTCGGTAAGAATATCTGATGAGCGCTGTCAACAAATCAGCGAATCCTCAGACTGTCACTTTTACGTAAATTACGTATCTGCATTAATTTACTTTATGTCTCTCAAAACGTATAATAACTTGTCTACCCCAGTTGTTTTTAAATTAAATAACCTGTGCAGTTTCTACAGCTCCACCGACCTAAATAAACAGCTATAGAACAAAGAGTATTAGCTATTTACAATATAATCCATAATAGAACGTTACTATCAGTCAATTTCAATTTTCAATTCAATGCAGGAATATGCACGTTGTGGAAACATTGCTATTAGTTGTATAACAGTGTAACAATAAATTCTTTGTGGGTTGTGTCCCTGAAAAAACAACATACCCAGTATTAGCAGTTGCAAATTTTTTTGCTTATATAATTTTAGAGTTATTTAAACAAAACTAGTTTTCATGTTTTATCCTGGTTTTTATTATATCATATACTTTACATATATACCTACACCTGCATAAAAATACAAATTAATTTGACTAACGTATTTTTTAAATTATAAAAAATATTATCTACCTACCTAAAATAAATATGCGTTTATGACTAATATTTTAACAGGAATATGCTAACGTTCTAATCGTTGGTAAATATTAGCGATAATTTAAAGAGAGAGGAAGTACATTATTAAAAATAAATAATGGCTCATTTCTCTCTCAACCTATTTCCAAAATAACAAAAATAGAAAGTAAATCAAACCGTGTCCGTTACGTTAAAATACAAACAATTAATTTATGCACGAAATTGTTTTGGATCTTCCTTTGAAGGTAAAAGAAAAAAGCGGACGACTAGATAGATGCACGAAGGACGACTAACGTCATTCTGCTTACGTAGACTATAAAACACACACAAAACTAATCACTGGAATATCGAACAAAACAAATTACGCCTACGCAAACTAGGTACCTGATTATCAAACTATGGCAACATGTTTTTACGAAATATAACAACACTGAGGAACATTTCTACTTATACATACGATAATACTATAATAATTTAGAACAATGCGCCGAAAACGGATAATTAAAAATTAAATTATTGAACATTTATACATACAATCAGTAGCTAGTATTTACATTTAAATGATTGCCTGAATTATATATACATATGTATATTAAATTAAAGTGAACTAGCTGCTAGCAGTGCTTTAGTTATATAGTTCTTTGCCACTAATAAATAATGAATAGGATTAAACTTCCAAAAGCGAACATCAGTATGAGCATCTAAATAGACGCACACTAGCGTTTCAAGAAAGTAACTTATTTCGAAGTTGTTTTAACTAAGCAAATTCTTGACTTATTTACACAAAATCCATTTCTAAATGCAATTTGCGTTACTTTTTCTCGCGTTGATTAAATTAAATTACTTTAGTATCTGTATCTACAACGATTTTCAGCCAGAATTGATAAATGCACTAAATATTTACACAGGGTGTTAACCTAAAATATTACCTAGTCCCTTGATATCGAAAAACAATTATTTTGCATCTAAATCATTACACCCATTTTTTAAATTATACCTATTTCAGAACTAATATCGGAGGATATGACAACATATCTTTTCTCATCGTTCTCTTGTTCATTTACGTTTTAAATGTTATGAAATGAATATATTCTATTAAAATTCTTTAAATAACTTAATATATGTTTAACAGCATATGGAAATAAAGTTCACCCCTTCACGAGACTCACATTTAATTTAATAAAATGGAATTACCCAAATGAAACAGCCATGAAACCACAATATTGTAAATTTCAAAACATCACTGAGCGTCGGATTTGTTTTGTGTTTGGTATATTTTATTCATAGGGATTTAAACTTTTAAATTCTGGAATAATGGTCGTACACATATTTTTTGTGAAAATATACATTTCTGGATCAGTTTTGTGTTTATATTTTACGTTGTATAGTGTATGACACAGTGTATGTGAAAGGTTATTAATATTTACATAATTATAAACATTTTATGGATCGGGAAAATCAAAGACCCTGTATCTGACAGGGGTGATTTACCTATCATGATTCTAGGGGCGTTAAATTTGAACGACGAATATATAAATAGTCCTTTAATTACTTCATACGTATTCGTCATAGCCAACTTAACAGAATCCATCTTTTACCTTGCTCGCCTCCATACCTGGAGCGACCTTGCCCACTTGAAACCGCTGCCATTTAGTGCATATGGGATATCTCTTACCTACGTAATATTGTGAAACTGAAACTTAATGATCGTTATTTAACGCCGTAATTATCTCTTGAAGTGAAGCCGACACACTGAGAGAGGCATGTTATACACACTTTGAAATTTACGATTCAAATCTGGATTCCCGCTTATTTCTTCCTTTGAATGAACTCGGTTGAGAAAAAAAATAAATCGCCGCTACTATGTTGCCAGAAGCTCTTTAAAAGTTTATTTAAAAACAGGCGTTGCAACCATGATAGTAAAATAGTTAAAATGTAAATATAATCCAAGATAACGCCCTTATTGCGGCACCATAATCACCAGCTTCATTTAAAAGGATGGCTGAGAAGATTGGTGCAATTATATCGAGGTTTTTAAATCATTTTTACATCGTATTAAAATATGAGTTATTTATTTGTGCGAAGCACTGTAGTTTAACAGATCTGTTATTTTTTAGCGAGTAAAAATGGGACAATAAAAACTATTTCATTAACAAACTTGTTTTGCAGAAAAACATAATCTAGAGACAATAAAGTCGCAGGAAGGAAATTCCAATTTCGAAGTGACTGCTGTGGCATGTGAAGGAAGTTTGTGAGCCCTATTTCTTTTTAAAACAAAATGAAAATTGCGAAGAAAATATTCGCCGTTACTATCGCGATATTACTATCGCAATTTTAAAATATTTATGATGTTCTCCAAATATTCCGGCCCTTATATACAAAGTAACTTAATTGAGCATTAAAAATAGACCATGCATATCAGCGACGAAATAAACAGCTAAAGGTTGCTTATTCGTTATTCGGACGGAGCCGATTGCTGAATACCAATTTGACAAGGAATTTGCGCGAGTTTATAAGGGGTGCAAATTAGCAAAAAATAAAATCGATATCAATTTAAAATCGCTACCACTGCAAACATAATAATTTCGAGTACAGTAACAGATTTAAAATACAAAACATATTCCTAAAACAAAAAATTCACGTGACCAGTAATAGACCCTTTTAGTAGTGACATCACATACGCCAAATAATAACCCCCAACCCCATAGCGCACATTGTCATGAAGAATTTCTCAATGTTTTTACTAGATCGATTTTCGACTTTATACTTTGAACATAAGTGCTGCTTTGTCATGACCTTAAATATCGAGATATTCTGACAGTATTGACTTTTATAGTGATTAATAAATCAAAGTTATATCAATGTTACTGAGTATGCGCATTAAAGATGATTTAATGTAAACGAAGTAGCCTCACAACAGGATATCATTCAAGAAAAGTTTGGTTGTGGTTAAGAGCACGTCTATAATAAACCACTTGAAGAAAAAAAACAACCGATAAACACACTAACACAGTACAACACCAAGAAGAACAATAAAAATACTTAGTAGAACTAGAAAATGCCAAGATTAAACAAAACAAGAGAAAATACGCTAATGATGATAGCGATAACATATCAACAAGATTTCACCTGCGCATGAGGCTATTCTTCCCGAGCATGCGCATTAGGAATAACACGGCTAATGTTAAATTTTTACTTTATTTAAATTTAGGAATATTCTTTTATATCGTTTTTTGTTAGCTTTAAGCACACTAGTGTAAACGAATCAATGATATTAATATCGCTAATTGTAAGATTTAGGGATTTTTAATGGGCAGTACCAGCTGTGCAACGTGCAATGTTGGTTGCCTAAGCTCGTGGCTTGTTTATTTATGAAGACTCAGTATATTTTAATAGACATACACACATATACTGAACTTTATTTAATTTCCACTTGTTTAAAAAAAAGATGCATACTAGTATATTTGAAAGTCTGGATATTGACAATCAAAATCGATTAACGCATATTAGTTATTTAAAAAATTCAAAAGTTTTCAGAAACTGAGGCTAAATCAGCCTTACCTTGACCACGTACTTACAGAACACACTATATATCTTTAAATAGCTGTGCGCAGATTTTAGTAAATTATCCGTAAAACTGTTAAAAACCTTTAAAAGATCGGCGCGGCCGCAGAGACAAATTAACAGTCAAAGTTGCATTTAATTTAATCTAATGGAGTGCGCATTATAACAAAGTGTAAAACTATGTGAGATATACATTTACTAATTGTTTTGTGCAATCAATAGATGTCTGTAAATTGTGAAATGTCAGCGTTTTGTAAATTTATGTGTTCACCAGCAATACCCGAACTCGGTTTAAAAATGAATCCTTTACAACGCTAACCCCATAGAATACATTCACGGATACTGCAATTATGTATATGTACATATACTTTTAATACTCTAGAGTATTACTCTTGTTTATTAATACAGGGTATTACATATTACATTTGCTTTTGATATTACGTTGAAAATTAGCTTGTAAAATGAATCCAACAACCCTACAAAACAAGATTTATGTAAATGTGTTGTAAAAAATGTTATTTGAAATATTCGACATCTAAACATCTAATCTAATTCACAAATCACATGGAATTTATGGAAATGATAAAATAGAATCACTTCCTTGCCCTTGAATTAAAATTAATTTACATGATACATAAATTTTTTACAAAAAAATATTATCTTCATTGCTATCTTCTACTCCTCGTTTACCCTCTAGTATCACGTAGTCGAATTATCCATCAAATTTTATTCCAATGTAACATTATAGATTCCTTGAATTGTTCTAGGACTCCACTTCCACGTCGTTGGAGAAGGGGTAGTTCGAGTACGCACCCCTCGCCAAGAGAGGGTGTACGACAGAGAAAATTACATAGATTTTAGAATGAGACTGCTCGGAGAGCCAGGTATTGTCTGCATACATATAATAATCCTTACACGGAATATAAAATTCATTCATAGATCAGGGGGATCTATTTTAAGGTGGATGTGAGAGGGGGCAAGCAATTTTTTTCTGGATTACTTCAGTACAACTCACATAATAAAAGTGTAGATCCCTAGATCTGGGCGAGGTTCGGAACATTTTCAAAATTGCAAAAATGTTAAAAAATTATTTTATCTGAGTTTTTTACTCATACATATCTTGGAACCTATGCATTTTGGAAGAATATTGAAACGGAAAAAAAGTTTTAGAATTGAATTTTGCACAATATGCTGGAATTTAAAACTGTTTAAATTTATTACCGATGTTGCAAAATAGGAATAATTAATGAAAAAAAGGCAAAATAATTCGATAATTTTCGCAATATAATTTTTTGAAAAAAATTTTGAAAAAAACTTTCAAATTTTCAAAATGTTAACATAGCCTCAAATAAACCATCTAGATACTTGAAATTTTTGTCACTTAGAAAGGACTGCTCAACCTTTCAAATCGTTTTTGAAAAATTGAAATCGATTGATTAGGACGGCCACAGTAAATTTTTAAAGTTTTTTTATTTTTAAACAATTAGATTACATTTATCTATTTGCAGTTTAGTTTTTTTCAAAAATTATAATTTTAAAGTACTATTATTTCTTAATTTTATCTGTATTTAACAAAAAAATTAATTTCCAATTTAATTTTTTTTTATGTTTAAACAAAAATTATTTAAATAATTGTAATAACTATAACTAAATACATTCATATTTAGTGTTGAAATATACACGTAAACAAATTTTTTCATTGAAGAAATGCAATAGCATAGGGTAAAATATACAGTATATTTAATGCATAAATAATAAACTTTGTTTATAACAAAATGTGCAAATTACAATTTAAAAAAAAATATTTTTTTATTTGGAAGTTAATTTTATTTGTCAAATACACATAAAATTAAGAAAAAATAGTACTTAATTTTTGAAAAAAACTAAATTGCGAATTGATAAATGTAATCTAATTGTTTAAAAATAAAGTGTTAACTTTAAAAATTTACTGAGTCCGTCCTAATCAACCGATTTCAATTTTTCAAAAACCATTTGAAAGGTTGAGCGGTCTTCTCTATGTGAAAAAATTTTCAAGAATCTAGACGCTTTATTTGAGGCATTTTGAAAATTCGAAAAATTTTTTCAAAATTATTTCAAAAAATTATGTTGCAAAAACTATCGAACCGATATTAATGACATTTGGTTTGTTGTTTTATTATTCTCTAAAGTTTTTTTTACCAAAATTAGAATGCCCTCGGAGCAATTAAAATATTTTTAAAAAATTATCCAAAAAACTTGATTATTTTGCCTTTTTTTCATCAATTATTGCTATTTTGCAACTTCGATAATAAATTTAAACATTTTTAACTTACAGTTTATTGTGCAAAATTCAATTCTAAAACTTTTTTTNGCATAATGACTAGAATAATTGGGCATAGTGATAGATATTTTTAAATTTGTCACATTGATCAGGCGCTATGTGTTATGCCCTAATGTGATATGTTTACAAATATTTATTGCTTCACCCAACTGGTCTAGTCATTATACATAGTCCTGGGCATTTTGTTTAGCGCCCAAACAATCAGATTGTCCACAACATATACAGGGTGATTCATTCATAATGTCAGTAATTTTAAGAGGAGATAGAGAAAAATGAGTATAATACGATGGCTTGATTAAAAAAAATTTAAATGCTTATTTAAGTCGAAAAAAAAAATTTTCAAATCATTATTTAACCCCCTTTTCAGACTTTTACTGACCGGCTGACGTCAGCCGGTTATTCACATTATTGCGCACGGCTACGATATAAACAAGGCGCCCTAGATGCAACGTTGCCATATTTATATATTTTCGCTCATTAAAGACAATAAATAAACGGTTTGCTCACGTCAGCCAATAATAATTTAAAATGCTATAAATTATTTTTTATAATTATGCAATCAACAGATTTCATATAACCCCATATACAAAAGTCCATAGGATTTAGGTCCGGCGAGCACGCTGGCCATCTTATGGGCCCTCCTCTCCCTATCCACCGATTTGGACATTGATCGTCTAAAAATCCACGGACATCGCAAGCAAAATGGGCCGGAGCTCCGTCGTGCATATACCACATATCCCGTAGCATCTGAAGGGCAAGGTTTTCAAACAATTCTATTAAAAATTGAATTTTCAGGTAAAAAATGCGACTCAATTAAACAATTGCCATATACTCCTGCCCATACATTGACACCGAATCTCCTCTGAAAGCTAAACTGACGAGTAGTGTGCGGGTTTTCATCTGACCAAATGTGACTATTATGGCTGCAAAGAAATTAGCTCTGTTTCACTTTAAATAAAATTTAATATTAAAGTTACAAAACTCCCAAGAGTTCAATAATTTAATTTCATTTCATAACCATTTCAATTTCATTACAGAAATAATGACATAAAGAACCAACTCACTAGGTAAGTTATAAAGAAAGGGTGAAAAGTATGTAGTATTTAAATATTGAATACAAGATAGACTTGTGTATTCCTTAAAAAAACAATCGGACGGAGACAAATTCCGGCACAATAAACAACTCGGTATGTGTTTCCGACCTAGGTTAACCTGTCCAGGTCACTAACCTTCTAACCCACTTTTGACTTGCACGTGCACTATATGACTAGAACTCGGACAAGACGAAACAAACATTTTTGTCTCGATACATAGAGTAGATATTTTACCTTAAATATTGTGATAACAATTGTTATTTATTTATTAATGTTGATGCTAAAGCAACAAATGAATAGGGATGATTGTTTTCCAATATACGGTTGTTACAATTTATCATTTTTAATATTAACATTTTCACATTTTATAATTTATTATGTTAAATAATACACAGTTTTAGTATTATGTTCAATTTATTATTCAATATGCAGTTGTGTAAATGTGTACCACAGATTATGATGTGAACTTGGCAACGCTGACGACTGGTTCGTGACATTACGTTACAAAATTTTCCGAGCATCCGGGAATCTGGCAGGATCGCCGTCTTAGCGGGAGTTATGGGTTGATTTCCTTCAGTTTTAAAAGTCGAGTAAAAAATGTTTTTTTCTGATTTTTTGTCTATTAGGCCTTCCGAATACGTGGTTAAAATTAATGACATTATGACTGAATCACCCTGTATATGTTAAATTTAACTTATACTTAAACATTTTTGTGCAAATGTTTTCTTTTTTCAGAACAAATATTTCATAATTTCCATTTCTATACAAATATAAACATATATAGGATGTTTTTACTGTAGGTCTTACAATTCTATTGCAGGGAGTGACCAGTGCAGAGAGAGAAGCTTTTGAACTGCTACCTGATGACGAAAGACAGTGCGAGATCTGTAAAACGACCTGTTTTTTATCTGCAATTACTTGCAAATGTTCAACAGATGTCCTAGTTTGCCTTAGACATTATAAAAACTTGTGCGAATGTCCACCGCAGAACCGCACCCTGAGGTACCGTTACACTCTAGATGAATTGCCAGTCATGCTAAAAGCGTTGAAATTGAAAGCAGAATCATTTGATCATTGGGTTGCTCGAGTAAAAGATGCTCTGGATCCAAAAACACCAAAGACTCTCAATCTTTCCGACCTGAAGGCGTTATTAAGCGAGGCTGACGGCAAAAAATTTCCTAAATGTGATTTACTGCAAACCTTAACAAGTGCCGTTGAAGACGCAGAGAAATGTGCTAGTGTTATACATCAATTGGACTTAAACAAAATGCGAACTCGAACAAGAAACTCTAACGATACAAAATACAAATTAACCGTGGAAGAACTAACTTTATTTTGTGAGGAAATTGATAGTTTAGCTTGTATTTTGGAAGAAGCCAAAAGTATTAGGGAACTACTTCAGCAAACGAGGAGATTTGAAGAAAAAAGTGCTCATTTGCTGTCATTAGCTTTATCTGACTGTTCCATCGGCGAACTGGAAGCTTGTAATGTTCACGGAAACGGACTTTGCATTGAATTACCCAACCTGCGTCTTATTGCAACTCGATTAAAGCAAGTGCAATGGCTTCGTGATGTCGAAGCTTACAGGAATAAAACGAACGTTATGGGTCTTGACGCGATAAAAGATCTCATTCGTGAAGGCACTTTGATACCGCCTCATGCTGAAATGGAAGAAGAATTATCAAAACTCCAAAGCATCCTTCAGACAAGTGAGGAATGGGAGGAACAAGCTAACGAGGTTCTAAAATCGGAAGACAATAATGTGTTGATCCAAGTCGATAAACTACTCAAGGAAGCGTCTAAAATTTCTTGCTTTTTGCCTAGTGAGGGTCACTTGTATGATTCGATGAAGAAGGCAAGAGACTGGTTGAGACTGCTGGAAGAAATGAATTCTGCAGAATATTATCCGTATTTTAGTGCCATGGAGGAACTGATAAAAAAGGGCAAGTCTCTGGCTCTCCATCTTGTGGAAGTGGATAGAATGAATGACTATCTCACGTTAGCGACTGGTTGGAAAGAGAAGACTAGTCGAGCATTCCTAAGAAAAAATTCAAACTGTTGTCTTATGGAGGCGTTGTCACCTAGAACTTCGACTCCTAATTCAGTAAAAAACAATAAGAAAAACAAATGCACGGAAGACGACACTAACCCGATATCCCTTACTAACGCGATGGATCCAGCTGCGGTGGTAGCTGTATTCAAAGACGCAGAAGACGCAGAAATGGCTATGATAAAAAAATTACGTACTGCAAATATGGCAAAGAGTTTAGACCCCAGTGAAGGACACACATTTTGTGTCTGCGGAAGGGGTCTGTTCGGGGTCATGATGCAGTGCGAATTATGCAAAGACTGGTTCCACGCAACCTGTACACAACTTCCAAAAGTCGCAACTACAAAGTACAAAGGAAATTTCACAAATATAGCGTTGCATTTGGGCTTTAAAGACTGTAAATTCCTCTGCCCGAATTGCCAACGCACGAAACGCCCTCGTTTAGACGTTATATTAGGATTACTAATGTCGCTACAAAAATTATACGTAAGAGTTCCCGAAGGCGAAGCTCTGCAGTGTCTTACTGAACGTGCCATGAATTGGCAGGACAGGGCCAGGCAGTTATTACAACACCCGGAACTGGAAAAGGCAAAGAATAAGTTGGCTATGTTTAGTCAGAAGTATAACGAAGCTGCGGCTAGGCAGAGAACGGAAAAGATTATTTCGACAGAATTGAAAAGGGCATCAAAGAATCCGGAGTTACATCAGAGAGTCCAGGAGATAACTCCTTACAGTGGTGTAGCAGAGGAAGGTGTAACGTGCGACAGTGGCATTAACGATTCAGACGATGCTTCCAGGGAATCCAAAGATTCTGACGACCGTATGGGAGAACACGCCTATTCCTTGCATCTTCCGAAAGTCGGTGACGGAGAAGATTACATATTGGATATCAATGCGGAAGTCAGAAAACAGTTAGAAGAACTGCTCATGGAAGGCGATTTATTGGAAGTTTACTTAGATGAAACTTTCGCTTTGTGGAAACTTATGCAGGCGTCGAGAGAACCTGAAAGAGAAGCTGTGCTAATCGATTTTGATGTAAGTTTTTTTATGTATTCATCTGAAAACTTAACCCTTTTGCTGCGGCGCCGGTTTTCAAATGATTTTCCCGCTGTGCTGATGTAGGCAAGCTATGTGGATTAGGGTGGCCCANGTCCTAATCAACCGATTTCAATTTTTCAAAAACCATTTGAAAGGTTGAGCGGTCTTCTCTATGTGAAAAAATTTTCAAGAATCTAGACGCTTTATTTGAGGCATTTTGAAAATTCGAAAAATTTTTTCAAAATTATTTCAAAAAATTATGTTGCAAAAACTATCGAACCGATATTAATGACATTTGGTTTGTTGTTTTATTATTCTCTAAAGTTTTTTTTACCAAAATTAGAATGCCCTCGGAGCAATTAAAATATTTTTAAAAAATTATCCAAAAAACTTGATTATTTTGCCTTTTTTTCATCAATTATTGCTATTTTGCAACTTCGATAATAAATTTAAACATTTTTAACTTACAGTTTATTGTGCAAAATTCAATTCTAAAACTTTTTTCCTCTTCAATATTTTTCCAAAATGCATAGGCTCCAAGATACAACTGAGATAAAATAGGTATTTTTTTAAATTTTTTAAATATTTTTGCAATTTTGAAAATGTTCCAGACCTCGCCCAGATCTAGGGATCGACACTTTTATTATGTGGGTTGTACTGAAGGTATTCCAGCAAAAATTAGCTTGCCCCCTCTTACATCGAAGAAGTGGGATATTTCGACAGATCCGCCCTGGTCTATCATTCATTTATTATTAAAAATCAGTCACATATCATCTAAATAAACCTTTAAAACACTAATAGATACAATATTTTTCTTACTGGCGTATTTTTTCAACTTCTGTTTTCAAGGTCAAGGGCCGTCGGTACTATCTCCAGGAATTCACAGCTTCCCGTTCAAACTAGGTTTGCCATTAGGTTTACCATCGACATTTCTAGGGAAACATGGTTGGGTTCAATATTACTGTAAAACAGCCCTCAGGGAACCCAACGGTCTCACCCACAAAAATCAGCAAGTGTTTATTGTAATGAACCCCATCGATTTAAATTTAGAACCAGCAATACTAGGAGTGAGTATATAAACACTCGACTTCTCTTTCCTGTCTTCTCTTGTGCTAATTTCTTCTTTTTTTCTGCATATTATCTAATTTAGAACATTTCGGGACAGGAAACGTTTAGGTGTGAAGTTGAACATAAATTTGGAGTAAGTTGTGTTGGGTCTGGCGCAGTTGTATGCAAAGTTACCTTAGACAGAGGAGGATACGTACCTGGAGAAAGTATAGGTAAACTTTTATTATACATACATATAAAGAAAGGAATCCATGGTTGCAAAATAATATATATTTGGTTATTTTTATGTAAAATTTACAGATATGTACCTACATAGAAAAATGTATATGTATATCTGGTGTTTCCTTAATATTGTGAAAAACTTATTCCTTGCTAAAAAGTAAGTCTTCTATCGTTATTCCTCAGCATACGATGTTTAGTCTTTTACATTAGCGTGTTAATGAAATCTGGAGTAACGCTGAAAATGGACTAGGGTTACTCCTCAAATGGAAGAACAGGTGGTTTACGAAATTGAAGATACCCCTACAACAAGCCCTAGTCCCACGACGATATTTTTAATCATCTGCTACCCTCAAAAGGGGTTGAAAATTTCAACCCTTAATGGTGTTTCCTTGTATCTTTTTACGGGATTAAATATTTACAATTAAAAAATGTCAGTTAAAAACGTTATTATTTTTTTTTGTAATATTAAAGAAACACCCACCATATGAAATGCTTGCTTCATATATTAAAAATATATATTTTCTACATTCAGGAGTATCGGCCAGTGTTTGTAACAGAAGCAGGGTTACAATAAAAAGTACCAGAGCCGCTTTAACAGAAAGCATAACGTATATGGCTAGAGGAAAAGTAGTCCAGTCAGAGAAGAGAGAGTTGGCCTCACTTTCTAGAGGAAAAATCAGACCTGGAGAAAAGGACGAATGGGACAATGAACAACTTTACATTCCCCCATTACCACCAACAAATCTTAGAGGGTGTCACTTAATTAAAATTCAGTATGATGTATTTGTAAGTGGGCTTTTTAACTGTACCTACTGATACCTTTATTCTTATTTCCTTTCTTTTAAAACCAAAATATTATTTAAAAAAATGTTTATGTTGTAAATACAGTACCTATCTTAATTTTGATTTTGAAATAGTCAAATACTGCTTTATTATTATAATTTGAGTTGGTTTTTATTTTTCAGTTCATTGTTGAACCTAAGAGTCTCCAGAAAGAAGTGAAGTTACAACTACCTATAATGATGGCAACATATCCATTACGATCTGACGATGACAACAGTGCTTATAAATCTGGAACCCATTATCCTTCTACACTGCCTATTTTTAGACCGTGGTTAGAAGATAAACCTGCTCAAGAGTGATCAATATTATAATCTACGTATTATTGTTGTATGAATTACACACTTATAGTATCTACTAATCGAATATGATCATTTATTGAACTGTAATGTATGCGTTGTATGATTACTGATAAGTCACATACACATCGAAAGGATATTTATTCCTATATTGAACTGGTGCTGAAATTGGTGCCGTGATATTGATACTGCCATAACCAATAAAAAGTACTAGTGTTTTATATTATTTTTTATTGTACATAACTAATATAATTGTAATAAACGTATGTTGATATTTTTATGTTTTTTAATCTGTTAACTCCTAGTGTGAGTGACTACAATTACAATTTATAAATTTTAAACAGAAACAGAACAGATAAGCATCCTTAATTATTATATAAATAATGTATTTAATAAATATATTTGCTGTGATCATTTAATAAATATACATACATATATGCATTGACAACAAATAATAAACGTTTATTTGAAATATATATGCAACCAGCAATACAATATTGGTGTATTATTCCTGAAATCGTATCCCAGGGAGAAATTGTGGAGTCCAACCTTCGAAAAATAGGATGATAAATTCTTAAATAATCATTACATTAGAAATTACAAATGTACAAACAGTATTGTGATCAATATTACATATACACATATATAAGTACATACGACACACACGCATATACGTGGATACATGATTATAAAATATTCCAATGTTCAATCAAATTCATTCTTCTGATACGTATTTATCAATGTTTATACTTTTTTCAATGGGCTCTACTGTACTTATCGTTTCAATGGTCAAACATAACGATTAAGTGTGAATACATATATTGTTCTATTTATCATTTTTTTTAAGTTAAGAAATACCTATGCATATATAGAATTTAAATATTTTTACATATAAAATATTTTACTCGAAGACTGTTTATTTTTTGAATAAATGTTGAAGGGATTTATAATGAATAAAGAAATAAAATATTCGTCATGGCTACTATCTGAGCGCATAACTTGAATTATTTAGATAAAAAATTGTAAACACCGATACACTGAATAAAACAATTTGAAAACAACATAATTTAAACTGAATTACTTCGTAATTCAGAGGGTATTTCTTAGTAGTTATTGAATTTGATTTAATCAGTGATCATATTTAGCTAAATTCTGCCAATACAAATGTAAGCGAACATTCAAATTTGGAGCTCTTATCGTAAAGGGAGTTTATTGGCCCATTTTGCACTAAAACATAAACCAATCATATCAAAGGCAAAATAGTAAGTCTGTGAAATTTTCCATGTGGTGTAGAGTTACAAAAATTTTACACTGTTCTGGTCTGCTGTACATCACGTACCTCTTTCCCTTTGTAAAATGGGTATGAGAAGTTTAGGTTTGTGGGCTTGAGCACTGGTAGGGTTCTTAACCTAAAAATTGGGGTAAATTACTAGAAGTGACAGTGTAATGTGTATGGATTCTACATGCAGTGATATAAAAATTTAAAAATATGCTTTTAAAATTTTGTGTATAAATTCGTCTAATACAGTTTCTTATAATTTCCACTGTAAACCATCTTTGTTGTGTTACTATTCATACAATCGATAGCTGGTGGGGGAATACGAATACATGTATAGTTGAGTTGCAATGAATTTACTTTGCGAGATCTTGAATTATAAAAAAATAGTGCTGCTGAAATGTTAATATTACTGGCAAAATGTAGATACATTTGTGCTGTTTTATTTTATTTATCAGTGACTTAAATAAATATTATTCTATATCGAAACGTTTCGGCCCAGAAGCAGTCCCGTTTTGTACAAAATAAGTGATTCAAACAATCAGGTAAACTTCATTCTCGAAAGTAACTTTTCCGCGATCTCCGACTTATGTTGTCATTCTTAGAACCTGTGCCATTAAAAAATGTCTAAGAGGACTTTGGCAATATTTAAGTCATGTGAAAACGTGAACCACGTTCAAAGGAAATAATTACATTTCAGGATTTTATGATGTAAAATTACGTCAAAATGACTACAAAAGTAGAAAAGCAGATGAATTGTGCAAATGGCCTTAAGTGCCATCCTGGTAGTTCAAAGACTTCTCCATTAAAATGTGGTGATCACTATTCACAATACAAGGAAGAAACATTTCAATTTGAAGTACCTCCAGAGGCCCCAGTTTTTTTCCCTACTGAAGAAGAATTTCAAGATCCCCTAGCCTACATAGCAAAAATAAGACCTATAGCTGAAAACACAGGCATTTGTAAAATAAAACCACCAGCAGTAAGTGTTTCAGTGTATTAAAATTATTATAGAATTTTTTATTTCAATAACTGTCATACAAAATGCAGGAGACATGTTCTTTTAATTACATTCTACATCACTGGACTCCATTATCTAAAATGAACATGATATTTTATTACACATATTTAAACATTTATCTGTGTATAAAACATATTATGTTTTTTTATGTTTAATTTGTGAAGAAAATTATTTAACATAGTTCTTTACTTTGACATACGGAAATTCCATAGTTAAATTAAAACATTATTAAAAAAAGATTTTCTTTTAACAAAGGTCAAAGTTTAAAAAAAACATGACAAAAAATTAAACAGTTATAAAAAACATAAATCCCAAATATAAAACACTCACTGCATAGGTACCTATATTATATAACAGGAATTAACACTAACAACGATGGAAAAGGGATTCGTAAATAAAAAAAATTATCAAACATAAATAATTAAACATCAATTTTTTTTTATAATGTTGAGATAAAATAGTTGAGAACCAATTCAGATACTTCAGACATTTTTAGAATATCCTGCTGACTGGACATTTTGATCAAATGATACCTGTTTATTGTTATGGTATTATGCTTCTCAAATTTCAAGATAAGTGTGTATTAATAAAGTCACACCAGAAGATAGGTATTTAGATATTTTTAAAATATGCCCTGCAGAAAGTATATTTTTATCACAGGATGTTATTTTTTTTAATGTTAGACATTTCAGTATACATCGAGGTTGTTATACTTAACCATATTCAAATTTTTTATTTATATTTTGGTAGAAACCACATAAATAATAATTTTTTTGTAGTTACATTAATATTTTAACTATATATGTAAACCAAAATTATTTATAGCATTGGCAACCACCATTTGCCGTAGATGTAGACAAATTAAGATTCACGCCTAGAATACAAAGATTAAATGAGTTAGAGGTAAGTTGTGTTAGTATTGCTTTTCTGAATATAAAACCAAATGGTTTGCAGGCAAAAACTCGTGTCAAACTAAACTTTTTAGACCAAATTGCAAAATTTTGGGAACTGCAAGGTTCTTCCCTTAAAATCCCCATGGTAGAACGAAGAGCTCTAGACTTGTACACACTACATAGGGTTGTTCAATTAGAAGGTACTCTGTCATATATAATAAACTATACAAATATAATTTAGTATTATTTTTACTTAAGGGGGTTTTGAGAGTGTCACCAAAGATAGGAAATGGTCAAAAATATCCCAAAGAATGGGATATCAAGTTGGAAAAAGTATAGGGACTATATTAAAAACACATTATGAGAGGCTGCTTTATCCGTTTGATGTTTTTAAACAAGGGAAAACTATCGATATCGTGAGTAATTTATAATTTACTATTTGAAATTTATTGTTTATGTATTCTCTATTTTAGAAATTTGAGCAGACTTCGGAAGACACTGAGAAAGCTGACAAAGATTACAAACCCCATGGTATTGTAAATCGGATGCAAATCAAACCACCTCCTGAAAAAAATGCTAGGCGGTCGAAGCGATTTGAAAATGATGAAAGCAAGACTGAAGTAAGATTATACAAATATATTTTTCGGTATCATTTCCATATGTATTTTTTAGAATTTAGCTCTTAAGATAAAAGAAGAAAAAAGTGAAGATGATGAAATGGGAAACAAGGAACTGCGACGTTTGCAGTTTTATGGTGCTGGACCAAAAATGGCTGGATATGACGATAAGAAAGAAACTAAACCCCGAAGCAAGAATATTAAATATGATTTTGATCCAGTAAGTGGAAATGTAATTATACTGTTTGTATGTTTTTAATTAAATTTCAGGTTGATATTAAGCTTTTCGTCTGTTAGTTCATGTAGTTTGGTGATGGATTGCATGTGTTATTATTTTGCTATAATTTTATAGCCGGATATTCTGTAAGAACAATTACATATAAATAACATTCGCAAGGGGTGCAATCTGTTTTGTAAAACTTAAAATCCGATGAATTTTTTAATACTCAGTTACTGAAATATAAAAACTGTATGTACTTATACAAAATAAGCTACAGAACTCTCTAATAGTATGATACAATTCAACTCATACTTATGACTTTTTGTAATATTTTATCAGTATCGTATTTCCCTATTTCGTAATTTTGACGAATATGTAGTATATAAGTAGAACACTGTATTTTCTAAATCATTTAGCTTCATGTTTTATTATTATTTATGTTTGTATTATTATGACCATTTCTTTTGCTTTTGACATGGGCATTTAACATGAAATCTAAATAAATATAATAAAAATTATATAAACAAAATTTCTGCACTGCATATCATGTATACATGTAAAAGTTAAATAGTGGTTTCTGTAAGTTTATTCGTCAGGTTTTTTTTTTCAATCTTTCCGTATGAGTAAAAAAACTCTTGAAATGCTCCTGCAACATTAAGAGCTTGATGCTAATCTTGTAAGATGTATATATTTTTGCATTGCCATGCTTTTTTATAATTTTGTCTGAGTTCCCCATTTTGATGACATTTTTGATAACATCTATAAAAAAAATTATTCGCTTGACAATTCGATTTATACCTATAAATTCCTATATTTTACTTTGATTTAATTATTTTTATTGTTACTTTAAAATAGGAAAATGGAAAACACATCTTCTTGTGTAAATATTAAAATAATTCATCAAGATTTAATTTTACAATTCACCCCTAATACGTGGTTTGTTATTAAAATTGTTTCTCGATTTTATAGCTTGCGAAATATGTCTGCCATAACTGCAATCGTGGTGACGCAGAAGAATACATGTTACTTTGTGATGGATGTGACGACAGTTACCATACGTTCTGTCTCATGCCACCCTTATCAGAAATTCCTAAAGGTGATTGGCGGTGCCCTAAATGCGTCGCCGAAGAAGTATCCAAACCCATGGAAGCATTTGGCTTTGAACAGGCTCAAAGGGAGTACACTTTACAACAATTTGGAGAAATGGCTGATCAGTTCAAGTCGGAATACTTTAACATGCCTGTACACGTGAGTTATTTCGATTCGGTATTCTAAAAATTGCTTTAAACATGTTCTTTGTAGATGGTGCCAACAGGTACAGTGGAGAGGGAGTTTTGGAGAATAGTTTCTTCCATAGATGAAGACGTTACAGTGGAATATGGCGCCGATTTACATACAATGGATCATGGATCAGGTTTCCCAACAAAGTCGTCAACTAACCTCTTCCCTGGAGACAAGGAATATGCCGAGTCAAGCTGGAATCTAAATAATTTACCAGTATTAGAAGGATCTGTACTTGGTTATATCAATGCTGATATATCAGGCATGAAGGTATTTTAGTAGTTTTAACTTTTTTACTGTCACTTGATAAATTCTTGAACTTTAGGTTCCTTGGATGTACGTTGGAATGTGCTTTGCAACATTTTGCTGGCACAACGAGGATCACTGGAGTTATTCGATAAACTACTTGCACTGGGGCGAAGCGAAAACTTGGTATGGTGTACCAGGAAGCAAGGCCGAATCTTTTGAGGAAACAATGAAATCTGCAGCTCCAGAGTTGTTTCATTCGCAGCCTGATTTACTACATCAGTTAGTAACCATAATGAACCCAAATATTTTGATGAACGCCGGTGTTCCTGTGTACAGAACTGATCAACACGCTGGGGAATTTGTGGTAACTTTTCCGAGGGCTTACCATGCTGGTTTCAATCAAGGGTAGGTATTTTCTTGAGACCTCGTTGTCTGTCGATTTTTGTAGACCTGGTTGCTGAATATGTCGATCTTATTTGTTGCAGTTACAACTTCGCGGAGGCGGTAAACTTTGCTCCAGCCGACTGGCTGCGGATGGGACGTGAATGTGTTTTACATTATTCACATTTAAGGCGTTTCTGTGTATTCTCTCATGACGAACTGGTTTGTAAGATGGCTCTTGATCCAGAGAAATTGGATCTGACCATAGCTGCAGCCACGTATCAAGATATGCTCGTCATGGTGGACACCGAGAAAAGGCTACGGAAGACTTTGTTGGACTGGGTAAGTCTGCAATATATTCCTTAGTGTTTATTGTTTTAATATCTTTATCTCAATATAATTTATTAAGTTGTTATTAACCGTCATAAATAACAGTTTATCTGTTACTGGTTGGCAGTATGTATGTTATGGACAATGTGATTAATTGGGCATTATTCATAATGCTTGGGCACTATGCATAATGACTAGAATAATTGGGCATAGTGATAGATATTTTTAAATTTGTCACATTGATCAGGCGCTATGTGTTATGCCCTAATGTGATATGTTTACAAATATTTATTGCTTCACCCAACTGGTCTAGTCATTATACATAGTCCTGGGCATTTTGTTTAGCGCCCAAACAATCAGATTGTCCACAACATATACAGGGTGATTCATTCATAATGTCAGTAATTTTAAGAGGAGATAGAGAAAAATGAGTATAATACGATGGCTTGATTAAAAAAAATTTAAATGCTTATTTAAGTCGAAAAAAAAAATTTTCAAATCATTATTTAACCCCCTTTTCAGACTTTTACTGACCGGCTGACGTCAGCCGGTTATTCACATTATTGCGCACGGCTACGATATAAACAAGGCGCCCTAGATGCAACGTTGCCATATTTATATATTTTCGCTCATTAAAGACAATAAATAAACGGTTTGCTCACGTCAGCCAATAATAATTTAAAATGCTATAAATTATTTTTTATAATTATGCAATCAACAGATTTCATATAACCCCATATACAAAAGTCCATAGGATTTAGGTCCGGCGAGCGCGCTGGCCATCTTATGGGCCCTCCTCTCCCTATCCACCGATTTGGACATTGATCGTCTAAAAATCCACGGACATCGCGACCAAAATGGGCCGGAGCTCCGTCGTACACATACCACATATCCCATAGCATCTGAAGGGGAAAGTTTTCAAACAATTCTACTAAAAATTTAAAGTAACGCCGCCCATTCAAATGTTCAGGTAGAAAATGCTGACCAATTAAACGACCTCCATATACTCCTGCCCGTACAATGACACCGAATCTCCTCTGAAAGCTAAACTGACGAGTATTGTACGGGTTTTCACCTGACCAAATGTGAGTATTTATTATGGCTGAAAAATAAATTAGCTCTATTTCACTTTAAATAAAATTTAGTGTTGAAGTTACAAAACTCCAAGAGTTCATATAATTTAAATTTCATTTCATAACCATTTCAATTTCATTACAGAAATAATGACATGAAAAACCAAAACTCACTAGATAAATTATAAAGAGAGGGTGAAATGTATGTAGTATTTAAATATTGATAGAATAAAAAACAATCGGACGAAGACAAATCAACAACTCGGTACGTGTTTCCCACCTAGGCTAACCTGTCCAGGTCATTAAACCTTTTAACCCACTTTTGACATGCACGTGCACTATATGACTGTAGTAGGATCGTATTCGATGCAAAGTAGAGCAAAAAGTCGGTATTTTATCAAAAGAAAATCGTGTCATCACTTTTAGGAGGCGTAAGATGAACCATTTCAAATTTAAAATGAAATTGAATGTAAAATCTGAAATATCGCTGCATACGCACTGTGTTCTGGTAGTAGCTGTAGTCACCCAGGTGCATCGAGTGTACGAAGTGGTCGGTAATACGTCATATACTAACCTGGCGAGCTTAGTCGTAAATCATAGAGCGCCTTCCAAAAACCAAGTAAACAACAGTGGCGCGTACAAAGGTAAAATGTAGTACATATGTACAAACATTTTTGTTTCGATACATGACAAATAGATATTTTACCTTAAATATTGTGGCAATCATTGTTATTTATTCATTAATGTTGATGCTAAAACAACAAATGAATAGGGATAATTGTTTTCGAATGTACGGTTATTACAATTTATCATTTTTAATATTATTAACGTCTTCACGTTTTATAATTTATTATGTTAAACTTTAGTGTAAATGTAAACTTTGGTGTAACCTAGGTAGGTACTTTCTGTTTTTGAGAAAGTAATATGTTTTTTACCTGTTTAAAATGCCAGCACGAGTAAAACAGCATTCATCCGTCCAAAGCACTTTGTTAATAAAGTTAGATTCTGCTGCACTTCGATTTAGGAACCAATTACAAAATTCAAGACGATTGGGGAAATCAGCTGGTTCTAAAGCTTGAACTTTTTGAAAATGGTACGGATTGAGTGAATTCTCGTGCAATATCCGTCAAACTTTGATTTATGATATCTCCAATAGTCTTGAAATTGTTCTTGTGGAAATAGTATAGGCTGCTCCTCGACTGAATTTGAAACAGCCTCTATCACATTTAAGTCATTTTGTCGATGTCCTGCGCGTTCTTTGCGCGATATGATAGACCCCGTGTCACGAAGACGTTGAACGGCTTGCACAATTGTCTGCGGGCTTGGGAAGTTCTGTATATCCGTGTAACCTGAGGGGTTATTTCTTTAATTATCTACCTTTAATTACTTATCTATTTAATTCTCGAAAGAGTTACTATTTAGCTCTCGAAAGGGAGTTTATTATCATTAGATATACTTTAGTCGACACGTGGGAACTTAGAAATGTTGTATGTCCAGAAAATGCATTTCAGTCACTTACCCTTTCATTGCTTACGTGGGATGTAATCCAATGGCTGGCTATACGGGGTAGTACTGAAGTTGGAGAAACAAAGGAAACACAAAACTTCCAGGAAGGGTTTTATTAACAATAAACAAAACAAACAAACAAAATAACAACGCAACGGCTCGACGACATTATTAATTAATTGATTCAATTGCGATAGCGTACCGAGATTCAGGGATTGCGCGCTTCATACAAAATTTAAAAAAACTATCAAAATTAATTAATTAGCCCGATACTTTAAAGTTAATAATTAGTCTGCTCAATGTGAAACTTAAGAACGAACTTGTTACAAATATTGATAATTTTCTCCGAAGGACTGTCTTGGCGACCTACTACTTGAAAACCATTAACCCTCCGATAATTTATGATGATTGAAATATCTTACTTTCCGAGAACTAATAAATAAATGCCTGCGNTGAATTACCCAACCTGCGTCTTATTGCAACTCGATTAAAGCAAGTGCAATGGCTTCGTGATGTCGAAGCTTACAGGAATAAAACGAACGTTATGGGTCTTGACGCGATAAAAGATCTCATTCGTGAAGGCACTTTGATACCGCCTCATGCTGAAATGGAAGAAGAATTATCAAAACTCCAAAGCATCCTTCAGACAAGTGAGGAATGGGAGGAACAAGCTAACGAGGTTCTAAAATCGGAAGACAATAATGTGTTGATCCAAGTCGATAAACTACTCAAGGAAGCGTCTAAAATTTCTTGCTTTTTGCCTAGTGAGGGTCACTTGTATGATTCGATGAAGAAGGCAAGAGACTGGTTGAGACTGCTGGAAGAAATGAATTCTGCAGAATATTATCCGTATTTTAGTGCCATGGAGGAACTGATAAAAAAGGGCAAGTCTCTGGCTCTCCATCTTGTGGAAGTTGATAGAATGAATGACTATCTCACGTTAGCGACTGGTTGGAAAGAGAAGACTAGTCGAGCATTCCTAAGAAAAAATTCAAACTGTTGTCTTATGGAGGCGTTGTCACCTAGAACTTCGACTCCTAATTCAGTAAAAAACAATAAGAAAAACAAATGCACGGAAGACGACACTAACCCGATATCCCTTACTAACGCGATGGATCCAGCTGCGGTGGTAGCTGTATTCAAAGACGCAGAAGACGCGGAAATGGCTATGATAAAAAAATTACGTACTGCAAATATGGCAAAGAGTTTAGACCCCAGTGAAGGACACACATTTTGTGTCTGCGGAAGGGGTCTGTTCGGGGTCATGATGCAGTGCGAATTATGCAAAGACTGGTTCCACTCAACCTGTACACAACTTCCAAAAGTCGCAACTACAAAGTACAAAGGAAATTTCACAAATATAGCGTTGCATTTGGGCTTTAAAGACTGTAAATTCCTCTGCCCGAATTGCCAACGCACGAAACGCCCTCGTTTAGACGTTATATTAGGATTACTAATGTCGCTACAAAAATTATACGTAAGAGTTCCCGAAGGCGAAGCTCTGCAGTGTCTTACTGAACGTGCCATGAATTGGCAGGACAGGGCCAGGCAGTTATTACAACACCCGGAACTGGAAAAGGCAAAGAATAAGTTGGCTATGTTTAGTCAGAAGTATAACGAAGCTGCGGCTAGGCAGAGAACGGAAAAGATTATTTCGACAGAATTGAAAAGGGCATCAAAGAATCCGGAGTTACATCAGAGAGTCCAGGAGATAACTCCTTACAGTGGTGTAGCAGAGGAAGGTGTAACGTGCGACAGTGGCATTAACGATTCAGACGATGCTTCCAGGGAATCCAAAGATTCTGACGACCGTATGGGAGAACACGCCTATTCCTTGCATCTTCCGAAAGTCGGTGACGGAGAAGATTACATATTGGATATCAATGCGGAAGTCAGAAAACAGTTAGAAGAACTGCTCATGGAAGGCGATTTATTGGAAGTTTACTTAGATGAAACTTTCGCTTTGTGGAAACTTATGCAGGCGTCGAGAGAACCTGAAAGAGAAGCTGTGCTAATCGATTTTGATGTAAGTTTTTTTATGTATTCATCTGAAAACTTAACCCTTTTGCTGCGGCTCCGGTTTTCAAATGATTTTCCCGCTGTGCTGATGTAGGCAAGCTATGTGGATTAGGGTGGCCCAAAAAAAACGAATTTTTTTTTTCGTGTTGTGAAAATATGTTAGTTTATCGTGTTTTAAAAGCACCCTCAAAAAAATTTTTTTTAGAGGTACTTGATGGTTAAATTTCAGCTCTTTCCAAATCCGTAATAAAAAATAGGGGTTACCAATGAAAAAACAACTTTGACCTTGGAATGACCTTGAAGGTAATTGTCAACGTCATGGTCAAGACTATCTTTGGATGTAAAATTTCCTGCTCTTTCCAAATCTGCAATTAAAAATAGGGTTCCCATTTAAAAAACTTAACTTGACCTTCAAATGATCTTGAAGGTCAAAGTCAATGTCAAATCCAAGGTCACCATCGGATAGATTTTTTGATTAATATATATTCGAGTTATTTAAAAATTTTTAAGAACTTTGAGGCCATCTAGTGGCCAAACGAAGCGATTTCGGATATAGGCGGACTAAATCCGCCTATTTTGAGTCCACAAAGCTGTGGTCTTCCGTTGTAAGTTATTCTGGGACACCCTGTATATCAGCTTCCTCGCAGTAAAAGGGTTAAGAACATTTATTTTATCACCTACTGTAGACTACTTTTCTTTTACTTTTTCCCCCCGTGTTAATCATTTGTTTAGATGACTTAATAGAAACAATACAGCCATAATAACACCACAACTATTTAAAAAGCTAGTGTATTTTATGTATCGATTGAAAGTTGCTTAAAAATAAACTTTTGGTTAAACGCTGCTAGCTCGGAATTAACTTATAAATGATTTGGATCGTTACTCTACGTCAAAATGTCAGAAACATCCTTCAATAATTATATAATCACTAGCGGACCTGACAGACGTCCTGTTCAAATGTTAAATTAATTAAAAAAACATCTATCGGATCTAATTGTGAATCTAAACCATTCTCGATTCCATTTGAACACACACAAATAATTTCATCAAAATCGGTCCAACCGTTCAAAAGGAGTTCAGTGACATACGCACGAACAGAAAAATTATATATAATAAACATTTGTCAAATATAAATGTAATTTTTGAAACGACTACTCAAAACTTCTTCAATAAACTAAGGTTAGAATTGCTAACTACTTCTAATAAATTTATTATGTTGAAGATTCTAATTAAATATAATAAGTACTTACTCTATTAAAAGCCCTCAAATCTAAAGAACGTTAAAACTTGTACAAATTTAGACAACATTCACAAATCACTTATTGCTTGCGCAAAGTTGTCAACTTCAATATCTAACTGCATATGAATAGGTGAAGATAACGCATGCAATGTTTATTTACAGAAGAATTTCATTTATCACCTGTTAAATGCTTTTTATGAATCAAAACTTCATTTAAAACTCCTGTTTCCAACTTTTAATCCTCTTTTTGTGGATTTTTATTTTTCCTCAATCATTTTGAAAAACAGAAAACCTGGAAATATCATGGGTCTCAAAAAATTAGGAAATTTCTCTCATTTTCATGGAATTTTTTAAAATTCTTATGGTAATCAGTCTTTATGTACAAGATGCAAGTGATGCTATGAATTTTTTCATAATTCTAGAAAATATAATTATATAATTATGCAGTAAATGTTACCTAAAATAGTATGGAAATGGTGAATCCAAAATTAAAAATAATTCTTATATTTTAAAAAATATATGTGTTATTTGCCAAATTCTAAAATCTATACTTATATTTTAACAGAATGTTTATTTACAGAAGAATTTCATTTATCACCTGTTAAATGCCTTTTTATAAATCAAAGCTTCATTTAAAACTCCTATTTCCAACTTTTAATCCTCTTTTTGTGGATTTTTATTTTTCCTCAATTATTTTGAAAAACAGAAAACCTGGAAATATCATTGGTCTCAAAAAATTAGGAAATTTCTCTCATTTTCATAGAATTTTTTAAAATTCTTATGGTAATCAGTCTATATGTACAAGATGCAAGTGATGCTATGAATTTTTTCATAATTCTAGAAAATATAATTATATAATTATGCAATAAATGTTACCTAAAATAGTATGGAAATAGTGAATCCAAAATTAAAAATAATTCTTATATTTTAAAAAATATATGTTATTTGCCAAATTCTAAAATCTATATTTTAACAGAATTTAAATTTCCATATCGAAATAATTATTCAAAAAAAAATGTCGGAATGAAATCTTTTTCAGTTGTGGTGCATTTATTTTTTACTTAGGCTTCTTGCATATTTTTTTTAAGTAGACTACACATCAATATCATAAGTTAAAACACATACTGGATGTTCTCAAAGTTGAGTCACTTATTTTAACAGCTGTTAGAACTCATAAAAAAAGTCGATTTACCCTAAATTGTTTATATAAAAGTGGTCAAATAAAGCAATTGTTAACAATTATTTAAAAAAATTTATATTTAAAAACTATAATACGAACCTGATTTATTGTCATTTTCAACCACTCCGTTGTAAAAGTACTGGGTATGTCTTTTTTTTTTGTAGTTGCACGGTTTTGAGTTCGCTCTTTTCGATTTGACAGTGCTAAATAATTCGTACAATAGTACGTGATACTATTTTTGATTTGTGGGCGTTTTGTGCAATAAAAATGGCACATGTTTATGAACACAATGAACTAGTGGACATAATATTAACTTACAGGGTGTGTCAACAAAATCAGCCGTAGCATGTCGCTTGTACGCAGAAAGGTTTCCTTTACGAAATCGTCCGGCTCCGTGGATGTTTGTAAATTTAGTTATAAGACTCCACGACACAGGGTATTTAAAGGAGCAACGAGGAGGTTACGCTGGAAGATGAATTGTTTATTTACTAACATGGACCTAGTGCTCGTTCTTGGGCCGTTTTCGACAATTTCTAAAATTTCTTCCTCGATCTCCATCATTTCGCGTGGAGGAGGTCTTCCAGCGTGACCTCCTCGTTGTTCCTTTAAATATCCTGTGGCACGGAGTCTTATAACTAAATTTATGAACACCCACAGAGCCGGATGATTTTGTAAAGGAAACCTTTCCGTGTACAAGCGACATGCTGCGGCTGCATGTTGTTGATACTCCCTGTAAGTTAATAGTATGTCCACTAGTTCATTGTTTTCATAAACATGTGCCATTTTTATTGCACAAAACACCGACAAATCAAAAATAATATCACGCACTACTGTATGAATTATTTAGCACTGTCAAATCGAAAACCGTGCAACTACAAAAAAAAATCATACCCGGTATCAGTAGTAAACAAACAATTTATGTTTTTACAACGGAGTGGTCGAAACTGACAATAAATCAGGTTTGTATTAGAAAATTTTTAAATTTCAATTTTTTTAAATAATTGTTAATAATTGTTTTATTTGACCACTTTTATATAAACCATTTTTGGTAAATTGACTTCTTTTTATGAGTTCTACCAGCTGTTAAAATAAATGACTCAACTTTGAGAACACCCTGTATTTTTCAATAAATAAAATTTATTTTTGAAATTTCATCTTATGAAAATAGTGTCATTTTCTCTTAAACTATAAATCTCCCAGTATGCCTATCTTGCATTTGGATTTTCAGGCAAGCAAAAATTGTTACAGTTTTTTTTTTCCTAAAATTATAAGTAAAAATGTGTCCCATTTTAAATATTTATGTGGGAGATTTAAAAAAATATGAGAAATGATGGTTATTGAAAAATGGAAATTGATTTAGAGCCTACACTTTTGCAACTTGGAATGTTTTTAAATCTAACCGGGAAACCTGCAAATATGTGAAAATTCATTGGTCAAAATAATTGTCAAACCGTACTATTTATCACTAGATAGCATCAAGAAAGCTGAAATTATTTTATTTTGTTTAAAATAATTGCAAAAGGCCTTAATACAAGGAAAGTAATGTAAATAAGAATTTTTTTTAATTTTGGAAATTTTCATTATTAGTTATTTTACACACTAGTAACACACAAAAGTAAACTATATATCTATAGGTCAGCTAGTAAACACGTATAATGAAAGTAGTTGTCAATTTGAGTTGAAGGTGAAAATAGTTGTACACTTGACTTGGAAGTAAGCATCACTGCTTACGAAGAATTGAAGATAAGCCAGGGATTGTTTATAGAGAAGATTCACATAAGTTGTGTATTGGTTCGTGTTAGCAACAAATTTATAACACACAAAGTTTTGTAAAGTATTTTTACAGTGTATTTCTTACTGTTCAAACCATGGACATTACATGGGTAAGTTATTCCAGTAACTATGGTGATTTAATTTAGCAAAGCCTTAGTTTCAAAAAACAATTAGTTGAAAATTTATTTCTTTACACAATTTGATGTGTAACGTATATATATTTAACGAGTTAATATATGTAGCTTTTCTCATTTGAGAAAGAAAATTTCCTGACATTAAAAGAAGTATATACCTTAATTGAGGCATTTATTACAGTGAATTTTTTTACTGTATGTTGATGTCACCTTTAAAAATGGCTGCCATTTTGCTTTTAAAAAAGGCGTGTATTAGTTAAATTATAGTAAAGGGAAGACATCTTTAAACGGTCTTACTTCTAACCGACTTGGTTTGTGAACAAATAGATTTTTCTTCATTGTTGTAGCGTTCAGTCTCTTCATTGACGGAATAGTGGACAAATTTTTTGAATTTAAATATACTTACTGTACACTGTGAAAGTTTTTCACATATTTAAAATAAGAACTACAAAAAAGAAAGAAAAGCTGCCTTGGGTTTATGTCATACAAATTGTCCAAAATAATAAAATATGTAAAGAAATGATTTCTGGAATGAAGAAAATATAGTCACGTCTTCAATTTACAAACTTAGAGAATTTAATAATGAGTGATTCAGTTTTTTTGTATAACTTTTACTCTACTCTAAAAAAAAAACAAAACTTCAATTACTTCTCTCTGTAATTTAATATTTACATAATCCGAGTCTTTAATTTACCATATACATGGCCCTTTTCTATATAACTATAAATTTGGCCAATTCTTTTTGTTTATATAATAGCAAGGATCTTGCAATGACTTGTTCTTTCATGAACCTAGTATTTTACTGATGAGTCCGTATTAGACCACTAACAAATGCTAAAATGACTGACACTCTGTTTATTAATACCTACTGTGGTATTAAGTATTTTAAAATTGACATTTTGAGAATATCTACTAAAGAAATACCTATAGCAGTAGTAGATAGAGGTACATAATTGATTATATTTATTGTTATTGAATTGATATCACATGATTCATTGAAATAGATAATTTGAGTATGTAAACGACGAACATTTATAGTTGTTTATACATTTCTTTTCACCTGCCATATTTCTTATCTCATTTTATTATGCAGATTTGTTTATGTACCAATTTTACTAGGATAGAGTTATCTTCAAGCCTTACCAATTTTATTTCATTAGGATTTTTGCTGTAGCGAGCAAGTGAGATAGGTATGCCAATTTTTTTTTTACTTTTACAGGCACATATGAAAAATACTCCCAAGAAAAGAGGAAGAAAACGTCTTTCTGAAGAAATAGAAACAGCTAAAAAAGGGGGAAAAACAGTAAAAGTGGAAGGTGAAAAAAAGATTCGTGGACGTAAAGTAAAAGATAACAAGGAAGTTACCAACAAAAAAAGAGGCAAGCGAAGAATTCGTCACTGCCAGTCGACATCTGCTCAATCAGACAGCGACGATGACGACGATGAAGCATGTGCTGCAAATGGCTGTCAGAAACCAACTGGGCAAAATGTAGATTGGGTGCAGTGCGATGGAGGGTGTGAACAGTGGTTCCACATGGCTTGTGTTGGGTTGTCAGCAGAGGACATAAACGAAGACGAGGATTACATTTGTATAACTTGTTCAAGAACAACAACTTATGAAAATTTGAATGACAGCCGATCAAGCAGTCCTAGATCTCCCGATTCAACTCAGCCTTCCACATCTAAAGACTTCTCATAGTGCAAACCATTAGTCACATGTTCATTGCATTTCATACAATGGACACTTTAAAAAGAAGTATTTTAGTAAATAGAGATGTACACAGTTCAGTTGTGATAATTTAAACGTAAGGATTGTAAAATATTTTTATTGTATCACTCTATGTATATTATTTGTCTAAAAAGTTATTTATCTTCATTTAAATTATGTCATTGTATATACTACTAAATCATTTTGAAATCTAATAGGTACAAAGTGAAAGTATGAAGAAAAAAGGAAAAACTTATAAACATAAATTTTTTAATGACAATTTTAAGCACTGCAAATTATTGTGGTATGACCCAGCATCCCTGCCTCAACTTCCTTTTCTCAACTTTATATTTTGTAACTGCATTTACCAATTTTATATTTATTACTATCGAAGCCAAATTTCTTCATATTGTGATCCTGGCAGTTTTTACTTTAGTTTTTATTGAAGGCAAGTTAATTGGTTTTAAAATTATTGTTAAACACTTTTCCAAGAGGGGAAGAGTATCTGGAAATTGTTAGTAATTTGTAGAGATGGGCACTTTTCGGAAAAGTGGGTTACGGTCATGTCCGTTGGACATGTCGATGAAATGTCCGGATATGTCGGGAAAAGTACTTTTGAGCTTGAATCTAATAAGGCACCTATGAGTGATGTCATGTTTTCACAGGTCATTGCTTGAGGGTACACGAAGGAAAATTTTATTTTATTATAAAATATGGACATATGAAAAGTTATGTTTTTAAAATCGGTTAAACAATTACTAACAAAATTACAAGAAAATTGCTAAATCTTTAATTTTTCATGTACCAACCTCAAACATTTTTTGCGGGAATTATGAATGCAACAAATAATTCCGTGCATACGCATACAACTTTTCAATCTTGAAAAGTGTCCTCAGGACATGTCCACTTTTCACCACATGTCCAGCTGACATGTCTGCGGCACATCTCTAGTAATTTGTAACTTAAATTTGATTAATATATTTTCCTGTTTGGTCTTTACAATTATCGAAAAATTTATGTTTATTAGTAAGCAGATAACACCACGATATCAACTCTAAATTGTAAGATTCCTTTATAAATTTCCAATGAAAACTACAATATTAGGTGCAATTAAATATTATGCTTTTGATAAATTATTAGAGGTACGGAGTGAAACGGAATTTGAAAATGAACTCTTAAGTGGTTCTAGGATGCATTGTATGAGTTTTTGTTAGGTTAATTGAAGAAATTCGAGTGCAAAAGTATACTTCCAAAACAACCAACTGACGTTATAAAATTTTTGGTCATGTTATCAGTGTTATAAGGTTTGTCATACGCTGTCGATTCAAGGCAGAAAAACTGAAATAAATTATTATTTTTAGAACTTAAATTTTATTTATAAGAAAATAGACTTTATTTCTTTCTATTAATTATGAGACTATTTTAGTTTTATGCCTTCAATGAAACAGAGGTCTCAACAAACCGATACTTTATATATGTTAGATTCTTTTTAATACATGTAATTTTGGATGTCACTTGTTTAATTTTACATTGTCATGTTTTACTTTTTTAGTCATCATTATTTTGTTGTTAAATACTGAATGTGATTGTCGTATCTTTTTTTTATTATTTTTAATTAATATAGAATGTGGTATAATTTTGTTTCCTTTTAGATAATATGCTTCTGTTTTTTTTCCCAGTTTATTCAAAGGTTCTTATTAGGGAATTACTTCTTACTAGGGCAAAACATTTTCGACTATGTGGATAGCTTTTGCTCTAAAAGTAAGAACGAAAAATTTTACTAAGACGTAGCAAGAATAAACTTTGTTATAAAAATTATGAAAAAATTAAGGCCATTTTATATACATAATATATTTTTTCATTTTTCGTGAAAATGTATAGATTAATAATATTTATCTTGTTGTAGTAACACATCTAATTATCAGTGTTTTGTTAGATTTTTTATAGCCATCAAATTCCTACTTTATTCTTTATTTAAGCAAATTAGACAATATATTTGAGTCGTCATTATTTACTGAGGAATATTTTAAAACTGTTAACATTTAATAGACAGGTAATTTTAGAAGTACCATTTATTTTTATATTCTTTTTTTTTTGTTTTGAATAGTTGAATAGTCTGTTTTGAATTTTTTGTCAATAAAATACTTTTGTATACATCATATTTTTGTCCCATGTAAAGTTAATCTTGAGAATGACTGAAGAGATATTGTGCTAACTATTTTTTTTTTCCCAAAGGTTGATCATTTCCCATTTCTACTTCTAAATGTTGATTATGTCAACCTATTTTTTATAGCTGATAATATCAGGGCCGTAATCAGCATGTTTATATTTTTTATCCTCCTGGTTTTTTAAATGCTCATCGTATAGAAATATGATAGCATTAGCTACCAATTAATGAATTATACCAAAAAACAAGACAAATATTTAACCAGAAAAACTAACTTCCTGGATACGGCCCTAGATAATATCGATCTGCTGTGGCAAATTGAAATTTTGTAATATTTATTTTGCATTTGCTTAACACATTTTAACGTTTACATTAAGGTTAATGGGACACGTAATATATGTATGTATCTAGGTATTAACGAGACTTCCGATTTATAAATTAGTTACTGTATTTTGAATTACTAGCGTTCCAACGGTTGTGGAAATTTTTCAGATTCAGTTTTCAAACATTGCCATAATTTAAAAGTTGTAAATAATATTTTTAAGAACAATAAAATTAATGCTCGATAAAAATTGATTTTTACCATTATTTGCATTGAATTTTTTATGTAAAAGTTAAAGAAAATATAACGTCAAATTAGATACTATGGAATACAGCTGTTGCCCGATTTTGTATTTTGCAAGAAGTTTATTGTGTGATGATAGATTTGTTTTTATGAAAAATCGTTACAATTTTGTCACGGTACCTTTATCTAGTCTACATAGTCAACAATTGGTAAAACTAGGTGTACCTGCGGTCTCTGAGAAGAAAATAATTTTTTTTTCTGCAGTTTTAGCAGTGGCGTAGTGTGAGGGGGCAGAGGGAGCCATAGCCCCGGACGGCATACGAAAAGAGGCGGCGGCAAGCACCACGATTTTTTTAAATCAAAAAATCCTATTTCAAACTCCAAATCGCGGGTAAAGTAGAGTAGAGTGCTAGCGAGCGACACCAAGTTTTCTCGAACGGACCAACAAGCGAAAGCGAAGGAGTAGTTATTCAATTAAACAAAAGAATAGCACTCCTTATTTTCATTACGTGAAGACTTAGTGGCAAAGCCCACGCTACGCCACTGATTTTTTTGTTATAATTTAGTACATTTTTTTACCTCTCTTAAAAGTACGCCGCTGACCGAAAGTTTCTTCCCACGTTACCACAGACAGTTAAGAGTCGATTATTGCCAGCGAGTTGAAAATGCTTACATTTTTTCATTCATAAAGGGTTTATCTTCAACTTGGGACCGATTGAAATCTGTTTTATCGGCGAATAAAATTGCGTAGACGCGATTTTATAGTTGGTGTCCCCTTATAAATTAGTCGGGCGGCCAAATTTTTGGGTAAATAGGAAGTAAAGGAACCATAGAACCCATACAAGCATTTTCATTAATATAGTATAGATGTTCACGTGGACGCTGAAGTCGAAAGCACAGATCACAGAAACAATGTCGAAAGGCCACATACCTAAAGGAAGGGTAGGTATTGTCTCTAGGTCTTTAGGTATGTGCGAAAGGCAGCCAAATTCCAAATTTACTCTGCTTTGGAAGCTTCCCGCATGCGCATTTCTTATGTGGCGTAGGCTAGATAATTTTAATGGAACCATTTTTACTATTATGTCTTAGTCTTTTTCGTATATTTTACATTCAGAAAAATCTAACCAGACCTACCTATCGATTTATTTTCGTAATTACGCGCCTCGAAGCAGTGGATTGGTCTTCTTTACTCTCTAGATACTATTGCCGCCGCGTGTGCGCTGCTACTTATTCCTAGAGATATAAAGATATCTAATTATAATTTATTGTATTGACTGTCGAATCGGTTTTGACCTTGACGTTGGTTTAGATAAATAGACACGTCTGCTAATTTGATGACGTCACTTTATCTGGCTTAAGTAGATAGTAGATTACAAATCAATATATAACCATATGGACATACCACATATTATGGAGATACATATATGTACAAATAATAATAGCTTTATTACACATTTGGAAACTGTGTAGTATATAACAAAAGGTACCTATTACGATTTGAATCGATCTGAATTAGATGTAAAACTTTATTTTTGAAAACAAAAACAGTTGTTCCAATGTTAAATTTATTAGTGGAACAAATCCCAGGCATAGCCCAATAATTTTCGACCTTCAAGGACTGTCAAAAGCATACTTTATATGGTCATGTGAAACGGTAATGGTAACAAGTCAATGAAAGCGTTTAAATTATTCATATATCTATATTTCTATTTTCGAGTACAAATTTATATAATTTATCAGCTGCTTTCAGTTTTGGATCAACAAAAACATTGTCGACACCAAATTCCTTAGTTCAATCTATAATTAAAAAATGATAGCCTACGGATTTATAGCCTTTTTTATAAAACATTATTAAGGTGGTACTAGAAAATTTAAGAAATAAATAATTAAAAAAATAATTTATTAACATTTACAATTTAATACTAAAAAAAATTTACAAAAACATTCTTTACAAATCTGTGAAACAACGTACTGTTTATTTACAAATAAAATTATAAATTCAGGCAATCTGTAATCCTGCAATATAGTCAACTGGCCAATTTTGCCTATATTGTAGTATTACTAATAATGATAATAACAAGAGAACTTAAATATACTAGTTTCTTCTGCACAGAATTCCATAACAAGCTAACTTTATTATTTACATTAAGTTACGTAGCATTATCTTAGATACAAAATTAATATAACCAGTCACACGTCTGTACTAAAACGTACAATTCACACTTAAAGACATACTTCCGTTGTTTAAAGTGGGTTAATTTGGTAAGGTATCATACAGAATATCCTTTGCCGACTGCGATAAATGATCAGGGAACTGAATGTCAAAATTAACTATAAGGTCTCCACGTCGAGAAGGTTCCTTTGGAAGAGGCAAGCCATAGCCTTGTATGCGTCTAACAGTATTTGGTTTTATAATTTCTTGCGTGTAGTATAGAGGTATCTTCTTTCCAGACATTGTAGGTACTTCAATGGTGCATCCACAAAGAGCCTGGAATAAGAAAATATAATAACATTAGTATATAAAAAATATGTAATCTCAAAATGTGAATTTCTACTTTTTAAAATTATTTTGCTATAAATAACTCGATGTTATTTTAAGTTTACAGACGTCACAGTAGGTCAAGTAATAGTATCTAATTATAGATATTACTGAAAACCTATATTTAATTAAAATGGACACATTTATTATAAAATTTTATTTAAAAAAATTTGAATATTCCGCTTACCTGTTTCAATGAAATTTTTGCTGTATATCTGATATCACTGCCTTCCCGTTTAAATAGAGGATGAGGCTTGTCTCTGATAATAAAAACTATATCTGCAGGAATTTTGTTCCTTCCTTGGTCACCTTCCCGTTGGAATGTAATTTTGGTGCCAGCCTTCCATCCTGGTTTTACATTTATCGTTAGGACTTTATCTTCTTTTTTGGTTGTTCCATCAGGTTGTAAAACCTTTCTACTAATTTTCATTTTCTTTTGACATCCTTTGGTTATGTCTTCAAGAGACACATAGAGATCATGTTCAATTGGGGGATCTTGTATTTTGTCTTTGTTTCTATTGGGACTACCATGAAAATTAAATGAATGGCTACGGAAGGCTCCTCCAGGTCCTGTAGTTCTTTGTGGTCCTCCAACTCCAAGAGAAGCAAACGGATCATCAACATCCATATCATCGTCATGTAATCCAAACATTCGGTTGTTGCCAAAATCAAAGAATGCCGAGAATGGACTGGAATTTCCAAAGAACTGAGCAAAAGTGGCTCTTGGATCTCCATGGTATGTGTAACTGAAGTTTCCAGTGTTTCCATTTCCTGTTCCTCCAGGGACACCTCCTTTTAGACCTTCCTCGCCATACTTATCATAGATATCACGTTTCTTTTTGTCCGAAAGCACTTCATAAGCTTCTGCGACTTCTTTGAATCTTTCCTCTGCGCCTGGAGATTTGTTCTTATCTGGGTGATATTTTAAAGCTAACTTTCTATAAGCCTTTTTTATATCGTCATCGCTGGCACCTTTTGCTACTCCCAAAATACTGTAGTAATCTTTTCCCATCTTTTACACACACTCACTTAACTTTTTAACAGTTACGAACACAGATGTTAATTACAATAAAAGTCAAAAAAGGAATATTACGCAAAACACTCAAACACGTCTGTTCGATTTCGTAGCAAAATTCTCACTCCGTTGCGCAGGAATCGTCTCGCCTTATATATTTAAAGGTTATAGTCGAGAACACTCACGACTTTTCTGGAATGTACTGGAACCTCAACGGCGTAACGTATTGTTGGCCTATTTTATCTTAATAGATAATGGATTAATGCTAGTTAAATATTCTAGAAATTTAGATTTCATTGGTGTGTTTCTAGTTTTTTTATTTATCTAAGTTACTACGTTCTAATATAAAGTTGTATCTAAAGAGAAAACATATTTCAAAGAAAACACGAATCTACTGCACTGGACTGTTGCCTACAAACTACATTTTCATACACGGCGGCAATTTTAAATATCTTTCTAGAATGCGTGGGCAGAACGACTATTTCACTACATGTTAAAAATATTTAGCCAATGTTGGTCCAATGTGATATTTATTTTTTAATAAGTCTATCATATTGATGTACCCAGGTTCCTACATTAAAACAATAATATTCATTTCCATCTATGGAACTTAAATAGATATGTGTATTAATTGCATCGTTAATTGTGTTTCCATAAGTAAAGGGTAGTGTTTTACGTTAAATAAATGGATTCAAATTCCATTTAAAAAATAAATGTCGCAGGAAAGTTTTACAATATTATTAATTGTTAATAAAATATTTTTGCACTCTGTTGGGAAGTCTGCCAAAGACCTTTTTATGCCTTGACAAGTGCAGTTAATTAAATATATGTATATGTAATTATTTTCTAAATAAACTTAAAAAAGTCCGGTTAGACTAAAAATTAACATTTCGTTTAAAATAAATATATCTATAATTTATTAGTTCCTAATAGTCTAGCATAATAAAATTGCATCTATAACAAAATTAAACAACTCAGATGAGCTATGACCAAATAAAGACAAAACTTATTAGAAATTCATATTGTTTATCCCACGAGTGAACTTGTCAAAAAATGCCTACCTATTCTAATTATTGGAAGGCTGCCCAAATACTGTAGAATGAAATATTGGTTTCACGTACGCAACTGAATATTTTGTCGAATAGAAAATAATGTAAATACAAATTATTTTAAATTTCCCGGTTCCCCTTGACGAACAATCGATTTCATATGTCAATGTCCTAAGGCTGCGTTTACATGGAGTCTCACAATCTTAAAATTGTCAGACTAAGGCTGGTGTCCCATGCATCCGAATTCCGACGATACGAAGGTCCGAAAGTGTTTCTATTGGTTAATATACATTCAAATTTTTACCGCTCATTTTCATCCGAAATTTTTTAAATTCATACGACGTCGGAAAAAGTAGAAATAATTTTAACTTTTATACGAAATCGTATGTTTTTTAACCTCACTTTTTAATTTCTTAACATGCTATGATTGTTGTATGATATATTTACAGTCAAATAAATGTTATATTATAATGTCGAATGTAAAAAATATAATACTACGTATATTTTCTATGATATATACCTATGGTTGTCATTTGAAAATGTTTCACCTTCATCTTGTAATAAATTCCATGGTTATATACTTGATTTCTGTGAGATTAATTTCGGATGCATGTGAATTATAATATTATCGTACGTATGAATTAAAATATTTTCGGATATCGTACATCGGAATTCGGCTGCATGGGACACCGGCCTAAACTCTAGAGGGGCAGGTTTGAATCAACGTAATGCTCACTCTGAATAAGTTAGCCATTGATTTTAGATTGCCCCCAGTCGCAAAGTACCTCAAAGTTAACTGCTTTCATCGTCATAAATCCTCATTGTTTTCAGTAGGTAATTCGTCAGTTGCTCCTTGAGACATTCTGTTGATTTCTCTTCTCTTAAGATCTCCGATACCCAAATACGTCCTTTTTAATTCTTGGACTTTTTTATTAAATCTAAATAAAAAATTAACAATTTGGTAATCTTTATAGTAGCAGATCTCTCTAAATTCAACTTATTTTACTGTTTTTTCAACAGCAATAGTATTATTTTTTTGGAGTTAGTCTATAGACGTCGGCGAGTAAACAACATTCGGCGAATAAAAAAACTGCGTCGTCTACACGGAGAGAAATGTTTAAAAGCGCCACATTACTTTTGCGCGTTTGTTAAAATATGATATTATAAACAAGTGCTTCATTCAAACCTGCCCGCTCTAGAGCTTTAGTCTGACAATCTTATAAGATTCTAAGACTCGATGTAAACGCAGCCTAACCCATTTTTTATTTGTTGTGTGTATGTTGGTATCTTGATTTAAGCTAATTCCTGGCTGAACCATAGAAAGCTAAATTGATTTTACTAGTTGAAAGTGGTTTAATTATGATTATGACAGTGTCAGTGAGCTAATTAAAGATAATAATAATAGGAGTGGTTTTTTACTTTCAATTTTTATTTTAATTTAACACATAAGTATATTGCCGAGAAAAAATGGATTTAAATATATCGGTATTTCAAGAGCCCCGTGGGGTGATGAGAATTTTACATTTTGTGAGTTTTACCTATTTTAAATTTATGGGTGACATTATTAAGCCCTGATTATTTTGTTTGCCCTTAAAAAAATTTATTATGTTTCAGGTTTTCTCTATTTGTGCATTTGCCACCATTACAGGATATTCAGGTTATATAAAATATTCATGTCCAGATAACCAATCGGCATCGGATGAATACAGTTATCCATTTCAGTTTGTGTTTACTAGGCCATTCAATGTAAGCGGTAGCATTTGCCAAATTTTTACAACTGGAGATTTCTCCTCTGATGCAAAATTTTTTGTTGCTACAGGCGTATTGGCAATGCTTTATTCTATTGCCATAATTTTTGTATACATGAAGTTTGATGAACTCTATAGAACCAACAATAAAATTCCCCTTTATGTAAGAAATGATATTTCAAATATTGAGTAGTTGTTCTAATTAATTATTTTTAGGATTTCTTATTTACTGTAGTCTTTGGAGTTCTGTGGTTATCGAGTAGTGCAGCTTGGGCGAATGGCTTGACGGGTTTAAAAACTGTTACTACAAATCCAAAAATATCAGAATCCTGTTCCAATTGTACCACATCAACATCTAATTTTTCAACCCTGAACATATCTGTGGTAGGAAATTTGTATATACATACACACATTTGGTAAATGAAAAATTGTAGTGTACTAATGTGCACTGTAATGCACTAATGTACTAATTCAAGATATGATTTAAAATGGTTTCAAAAAAAAAAAAAGAAAAATTGATAATCCCAAATTGTCAGAATATGTCGAGTATTTTTTATAAAAGTAATGATAAAAGTTTATGTTTGTTTGTATTGACATATTTTACTTTTAGATCTTTGGCTTTTTGAACTTTTTCTTGTGGGCAGCAGATTTATGGTTTCTTTATAAGGAAACGGCATGGTTTCAAGGAAGACAGCCTAATCCATCTGAAGGTGCTTAAAATGAAATCCTATGTTTGATATATATTATTTCTGAATAAAACTAGTCAGTTCTGCACAGTTTTGGGTTACATACATGAAAACTTAAAATTGATGAACCTTGATAGAAATAGGTAGCTATCTTTGGGGACCTTGATAAATATATAATTTTTAATCATTCTTCCATTTCATAGAATTTTTCATCCATTCAAATGCTAATATTAAATTGGTAAATTCTCCAGTAAGTTTCTATTTAGGTATATCAATATTGATTTAAGGGGTGTTTTTTTAATTACAATTTAACTGATTCAGTTAAATACATTTGATTCAATTTAGTTAAATCCAGTTTAAATTCCTTTTTATAAACCAACCCTAAATGACTTCTACCTATATCTGCCAATGATCCTTTAATTTTATGTTTATTGGTATATATTGTGTTCAACATATTTGTATATTTTTTTAAATATATATGTGTCATAGTTTGCACAAAACTCAACATAAGCACTAGTATTACATTGATAATTTGACCAGTGGTCAGTATGTAACATATGTTCAAAATGTTATTATTTTATTCATAGTCAGTGAGAATTTAGTTGCCATTGGATATTTTCCTTCGTAAATAAAAATAAATAGCAAACCATTTTAAGTATATGAAGTTTGTAAAAGAAATATGTATTTTATTTTTATACCAGTTTAACATATTGATACCGTTGAAGATATTTATGCAAGTGTTTGGAATACTCAAATGTCTTAAAACTTTGATTTTTATATTGTCTTAAAACATCAATCAATCGAAACAGTTCCTTTGAGTTTTGGGCTACTTTTCTCTGGTTTGATGTATATATATTTTTCTCAATATTGTTCTCACTTATGTAAAGAACTGTAAGAATATTGAATATAACTTTATTCCATCCATTAATTATACTTAATTTTATATGTCGTTTAACTTCTTTTTTCACTGAATTTTTTTTTGTTAATGCAGTTACTGTACCAGTCATTTAAAAAAGTTCACATAGCTAAGTATAATTTAATTATTATACATATATGCTTTATTATATATTTTTTTCAGTTATGTATTTTTTAATATAATAATAAAATGCAAAATTATTTTTTTCATTTGAAAAATTTATTAACCGGCATCTTGGTATCACTTTTTTAGGTTTAAGTTTTTATACTGATATAAGCAATTAGCAGTGGGGAAAACATACATTTTTATATAGTGTATTAAAGTTTGAAGCGGATAAGTACATCATTTTTATGAACGTGTATACATTTCTGTACAAGTAGGATATGTATTTAAAATATAATTTATAATAGCTTTTGTATTAGATGTAAAAGTCATTTAACTGGCATTGTTGTTTTTATTAAAATAATTGTTGTTTTTTTTTGTAATACAGAATATATGGGTTTGAATTTAAATAAATATTTACCATTTAATTTCTTGTTATTAGTATGCGAACATGTAATATAGTATTAGAAGTAACCCAGTTGTTAAGTACATATCCAATAAAAGTCATTTCATGGCAAATTTTTAAGTGTCAATTAAATGGTATATATATATATATAACGTTAAAATTATATCGGGAGTAATTTTAAACTTTGTAGGTACATGAGAATAAAATACTGTAAGAGAAAATATTGTAATATAATCTTGTCATTATTTATTTATTTACTGACATATTCTTATAAATTATCAGATGATTAGATTTAGTAAGAAGATAAAAATTAAGTTGGTAATTAATTTAGTTTTGCTTTAAATAGATTATAAAAAATATATTTTTTCTGGAAATTTATTTTGATTATTTTTTATATTCAAGAGAGGCAGTATTCTTCAAAAGAAACATAATATACTAAAGATATAAAGTAGTCTTAATACTGATTTTGTGATTCCCTATTATGCTCGTATATATACAGGATGTCCCTGAAATAAGTGCCTTAATTTTTACAACATTCATCAACAATTTTTGTCTAATAATTTTTTTCGAGTTTACCCTGTATTTTGCACCCTTTAAAATAACGCTAACGAACTGCCCGTGGATTAAAGAAATATCTAAGTAATGTATGCAAATATTTTATAGAATGGTTCATTAAAATTTTTGCCCTCCCAAATTATAAATACCAGCACGTCTATATTTTTTTGCTCTTTGTTTATTATTACCTCTATTAAAGCGTTTCAACTTATGCCCCAGTTACAAAAATTTAAGTTTTAAAAAATTATTTCGAAAATCAAGTTAAAAAAAAATATTAAACAATAGTTGTTGCTTATGATAAGTTAAATACATGTTTAAAATTTTGACACTTATTTCTGGGACACCTTGTTCATATAACTAAATAAAGGTGTATTGTCCTTTTAAAACAAGTTAATATACTATTTATTTTTTCATTCAATAAAATCAGGATGATAATTGCCATGTACTGGGTGTTTTGGAAATAAATTCTATAAGTTGCAAACAAGTGGGACAGGTAGTAAGACAAGTTAAAGGAAATCTATCGTTATATTATTAAAAATGTAATTGATAAACTTAAATTTGAAGGTAATAGGAAGACTTCAAAATTAAAAAAATAAAAATGATCAAAGACAAAATATTAGTATAATTACAGTATCTATAATTTTATTAAATTCTTTCATTCTGGCTATAAAATAAGATAAACTGGTTTTGCTATTTATATTAAAACTAAATATTCGTGACTAGCGTTATGTTTAGATTATGCTAATTTTTATTTTATTGTGGAATCCAGTAAATGTTATCAGATAGCTAGTTCTTGAATTTCAAGTAGCTCCATATGTTATACATTGAACTTTAAATTTAAAGTAGGTTTAGATGTAACAATTACAAGTACATACGAGTAGAAACGTTTTGTATGAGTTCTTAAAGTTAGGCATATTAAAACAAATCCAACTTAATTCATAATAAATCGCCATAAACAAGACAAAAATAGGTTATGTTTCTGTGCGTCGTGATGTAATCCATTTAGAGTTAATACAACGTAAATATTTATTTATTGATATTTGACTAAATCTCCAATACCTACATCAGCTCTCACAGAAATTGTTTGATTTATCTTGTGTGGTAGAAACTCGTTGTGATAAGTGAGTTTAAAAATAAAGTAGCTGTCAGTGTCAGATCAGTGCTAGTGAGGTTGGTTATAAATATTTAATTGTTGACTGTAATAAGCATATTGCAATTAATTTACTTAAAATATATAATTTTTCCTTCCAGTCGAGCGATTGTGTCATGTAAAAAATATTTTTATATAATGGAATTTGATTCCCAAAGTCAGTGTTCTGATGAAGGAGTTGAATTATCAATATCAGGTAAGTATTTTTAAATACAAATATATTTAATTTCTTGCTTCTAAAGTGGTTACTGTTTGCCTGTTTACATATACTTTTATCTGAAACATTAATTAAGCACCAGGCTACAATTAACATCTAATAATTAAACTGATATTGAAATAAATTGATAACATTTGTATACCCTTTTATTAGCTTATTGTTATCTGGAATTATAAACACTACTAAGAGCATTGTCATAAACAAGAATTGAATTATTTAAAATTAATTTATTTCATATCATTCATGTAAATGTTTTTTAATAAAAAATTTTAGAAAATGGAGAAGTATACCCGGGAGATTACCCTTATTTGGAAGAAAATCAACCTTCATCTCTGGAAGCTAAAACTGTTTACTTATTAATGCAGAAGAATGTACCAATATCGAGAGCTACAAGGCTTCAGTGGCTTTTGGATCATCTCAATACAACGATCGTTACTCCTAGTCAAAAATTGGTCAGTTTAATTATTTTCCTTTCTTTGCATATTTAGTCATCTTATTCAACAGATTTTTCCACAGTTAAAAGATTTTAGTTTTAAATGCTTTTTAACAACTCGTTCTATGTCTCCGAATTGATTTTCAATTAATTTTGAAAAAAATAGTATTACACAATTTATAGAAGTTTATATTATTTTATACTTTCAACATTTCATAATTTTAATTTTTCCCAGGGATTGATTCAATATTTAGGTAGATAAGTAACAATTTTCCAAAGAAATAGGAGAAGCGATAACTAAAGAAATATATAATAAAATAGTGAATAAGTACAAGCAAATATTTTTCTGATGTAACCGTGGTATGGCAGTAAAATACTTATAGCATTTCAGTGTAATTCGGTTGGATAGGTCTGTGCTATTAAGTTTAAAATTATAGATTAACTTCTGAATGACAGTATAAGTTTCTCGAAAGCAAATTTTATTAAATTTAATAAAAATATGATTTAAATATTTTAGTTAATAAGTACATACAAATACAAATTCCCTAAGTTTGGCTCTTAGAAAGCGAATTTAAATGTATCTGACAGGGTAAATTTTTATGTTTTTAGTTTTTAATCTTCATATTTGTCTTTTTTATTTAAAAATTTTTCCATCCACTATTTCTATTATAATGAAGTTCGTTTCATCAAGTTAATTCAGTCCTGTTTGTTGCTATCTAATAGACTTATCTCACTTTCAATTTTTATTAAGCCTCACTTGGTACATGAGAATGTAAAAGAATAATTGTAAACAATTTTTTGTACAGGCTGTCTCCCAAAAAAACACCGCAAGCCGTTATTTATAGTCTGATTTTAAAAAACAAAAAATTAAATGAAATGGCTCTAAATACACTATGAAGGGAGCATATTAGAACTTATTTACTATTTGTTTTTTGAAGAGCGATAGTCAATTTTTTTTTCAATTTTTTTGTTATTTATTATTGTGCAGATTTATTTTCTGACTTTTGCAAAGCATTTATTACAGAAAAGACAACGAAATATTAGTCGATACCGCATTCAGCGCCCAGCTACTAATTCATGACAAATATATTTTAACTAATCATCCGAGTAATCATCTGTGCCATGGAAAACAAAAAATAATACAGAAAAACAAATAAAACTCAAAAGAGAATTTTGTAGTTAACAGAAAAGAAACAATACAATGAATATCAATTAAAAGAAAAACAATTCAATTAAATACATTAACCATTATACAAAGTTCAACACGAAATAACATTAATTAAACATTAAACACATTAAACGAAGAACAAATGTTAAGAAGAACATTGAACTCGATGTTTTCATTAAATTGACATTCTTCTCGTTTTAGTTTCTTAAAAGCACCATTGTTTCTCAAATTTTCTTCAAGTCTTACAAATCTATGTGGTTCTGGAACTTCTCTGTGAGGAAATAGTTCTCTGTAAAGGCGGATTTCTGCATCACGATTTTTATTACACCGAAAGTATACCTGAATCATGTCCGTCAATTGATTACTCATATTTTGCACTGTTGAGCTTATTTCAATAAATAACCTACTGTAAATGACACAGAAAGAGTATAATGCGTAAAAAACTGGGACACGAACGCATTTACATGCTTTGTATTATTTTTTGTTTTCCAGGCATATCTACATGATTAGTCAAAATATGTTTGTTGTCAATTAAGCGTTATTGACTAATAATTTCGAGCTTTTTCTGTAATACATGTTTCACAAAAGTAAACTTTATTAAAAAGTTGACAATCGCATTTCAAAAAAATAATAATAATAAATACACTCCAATAGGCTAACTTTATAATGTTTTTAGAGCCATTTCATACAACTTTTTGTTTTTTTAAATCAGACTATAAATGACGGAGTTATGCTTGCGGCGTTTTTTAGGAGACAGCCTGTATAAATAATTTTATCAGTAAAATGCACAAAATAAATAAAATCAACAGTTTAGTACGATTAAATTTGTTATGGATGTTAGATGATAGATGTTATATGATGGACTTGATGGAGGGAGATATTCTGAAAAATTTTTTGATAAACATAAACTTATCTTGTTTCATTATGGTTTATTAATACCTATTCGAAATATGCTTTAGATAGTAGATGTTATATATTCTTCTATCACTTAATACATAAATTAATAACTGACAGCAGATAAATTGTCAGTATCTGAAATTAAATTTTATTAAAAATGAATTACATGTCAATGTTCTAAGAGAAAATTGATTATTTGAACTGTGGATTATATGAGCCAGTTTTCTTTTTGTGCATGCAAATATATACATAAAACTTATAAGTACAAGTTTATTAAAAAACTACCATACACTTCAAGTCATATAAGTAATCATAACAAATTTTTATATATTTTGTTTTTTGTTCATAATTACTTCAAAAAGTATCGAAGATATCTTTCATATTTCTTATCATATAACTACACCACTGGCAAGAATTGCAATTTTCTGTCTTTAATAATTACCAAAATACTCTCTGTGGTACTCAAAATGGTATGTGCTGTACATTCACATGCATACTTCATTTACTTCGTTGTAACATATAAATTTAAATTAGGGTTCAATCAAAATCTCATAATGTAAATATTTTGTTAGTAAATGGTGTAACGTTATTGTTTTTGCATTCCAGAATGAATGTACTAGTAACAGTAACTTTGAAGTTGTATCTGCAATACCAAGAGAACAAAATTTAACAAAATGTAATCGGTTCTTAATAACATATCGTACCGAACTCAAATTCTTTGCTCACAGTTATCGTTTTGTATATTGCTTAGATATGAGCCCTTCTCAAGCAAATGTAGATATACAGAAAGGCGAAATACTTTTCGATGAGATACTTAACTGCTTTAGAGCTAGTATGGAGGGAATATGTAGGCAGGTAAGTTAATATAAGTTCTTTTTATATAACGTATTGAAATGGTATGGGTCAAATTATTTTTTCGTATTTTTTTGTACAATATAATATTTATGAATGAGCTGAATGGTCTAATTTATTTTTTATGAGTTCATTTGACTTTAAAATTTGAATATATTTTGTGTACTTTTTTTAGTGGTATACAACAAATTATTGTATGATTTTCTTAGTATTGGGTAATGTAAAAAGAATTTGGCCCATTCCATTTGAAATTTTTATTTTATATATTTTATTTTTTCAGTTTACAATACCTGGAAACTGTTTAGTTTTCCAACCATGTATTTATTTGACTGTTATAGTAAATACACCTTTCTTTATGAGTCCCGCTCAACAGGTTTTAATAAAAGGAGTGCAAGTAACGCAAAACAATTTAAATGAAATTATAGACTATGTAGCGAAACAATTTCATTTACTAGAAGGAAAAATTGCGGATGTTACTGCAATGGCACTGGATCAAATAGAATTTCACAGAGTAAGTCAAAATTATTGCTATGGTAAATGTTGATTTTAATATAATGTTCAATAAATATTTTTTAATATTTTGACCCAGTTTTAAATACTTTGGAATGTTGTTTTTTTATATTCAAGAAGGATCAACTAAAATTTAGATAGTTCCAGTTTGGAATCTTGCCACAATATAATTCTGTAGAATGTATTTTATTAAAATAGTCCACATGTCACACCTACTGTGATAAAACTAAAAATATAGAAAGATATTGTGACTTAAATTAATGTTTTATGTTATTAAAACCACCTACATCTTATTTTAGAATACATTCTACTACATTGCATGTTTTTTTACTGTTTTGTTAAAAATGATAAAGCTAGCAGTAATTCCACGTTTCAGTATAATAAATAATAATTTGAATTTTTATATCATATATACACGTTTTTCAAATACCCTCTTAATTTGTAGGAAAATAATTGTATGGCATATATTTATACGACATTTAAAAAAGTAGAATATTTCTTAAACATATTTTATTTTAATGATGCAATGTATCCATTTTACTAATGTTTTAATTAGCTGCTTTGAAATTATTTTAGTTACAAAATGAAGGATTGGTGGGTGGATTATTCGATCCTCCAGAATCTGATCAGATTTGTACAAGAATTCCAATGGTTACACCAGACGTAAATTTTGTTAATATGCTGCGCTATTCTATGTTAGCCATTTCCCTTCTCCCTGAAAATAGTCTAAGTCGTAAGTTGTTCTTTAACTTCATGGTTCATTCATTGATAAATATTTTTTAAGATATTCTAGTCATTACTGATGGGATAGTTGCAATGCCTGATTCAAATATAATGGAGTCACTTTTGTATCAGTTACACTTTGATAGTATAGCAGTATCTTTTTTAAAAGTTGGATCTACTTTTCATCCACATTCAAGTGCAGGTTACGTTTCGTATACAGATTTGTTGTATTTTTTTGCTCATTCTACTCTGGGAACCTGTTTAGAGAATTTCGTACACATTGTGAGTATTAAGAATTATTGTAATCAAATTTTAATTAATACTTAATTTTAATAAAATCTTTAGAAGCATGAACCGTCCTTGCCGTTAAATATTTACCATGAACTATTTTTGCTGTGGTCTTTTCATAGTGCAAATAAATATGCTTACCCAAAGATTTGTGATAATTCTAAATGGACTTCGTCGTAAGTTATTTAAATAATAAAATACACAAGTACATATATATAATCCTATATTTTTACATTTTAAGAAATGAAACATTTAGTAGCCAAAAGGTGCCATCATTGCTTTCCAAAAGACAGACTGATGAAAGTTCGAATGCTTCCATTTTACTTTTATTGTCGAGGCGATTGAGAGAAGGTTTTACTGTAGATGTGAGTATTGCTATTTTAATGATTTCTTCGATAATCATTAATCATTTCCAGAATATTTTTTATATGAATGGTAATTTAGAAATTAAGTTAATTCTTCAGTGGAAATCATTGGTTTATGTCCAATATAAAGTTAGTTCCTCTTGGCCGACTAAAAATTCAACACATTTTGAAGTTTATATATCAGGCAGGTTTGCGTTAATTTGTTTTTACGAAAAATAAAAGATAATATTTATTCTAGCTCCTTACGACTTCCTTCATGATTACACTTGTTTCCTAAAAAAAGAATCAAAATCGGCATATAGACTTGCCATAATTGAAAGATTTTGGATGCGATTGACTCAGATGTCTTCTGGAGATTTAGGTTTAGGTCAGCAGTTAAGCTCTTTCCAATATAATAAAGACTGGTATACACTTCCTGAGAGTGTTCGTAACGGAATACCTGTATTCGCCTTAAGCAGCTCTAGCTGTTCAGATATTAGATTAATACCGAGGTAAATATTTGTGGCATATGTGCTATTAATAGTACATATACTTAAAAACAGAAAATAAACCGTCTTCTAATTTACATTACAATTCTTTTAGAGATGTATCATGTTTGAAATTTATAACTACATGGCAACCAATTTGCCAACTGGAAACGAATAGTTGGAGGAAATGGTTTCACACTCATAAAGTGTCCCTTATTTTAAAGCACGACAATCCTTTGCCAAAATATTTGCATATGCCTAACTCGGCTCAAAGATTTCAGGTAGGTACTTTCTTGATCCAATCCAATATGTTGTGTGTAAGATGAACAACATTATTTTGTGTACTGTTTCACGTTTTTTAGGTTGTTCAGTGTAGACAAGCTGCGACAGCTTTATATGGTATGCTAGCAGATTGGGCATCATTCGTATTGGTGGATAATCATACTTACCTAAAATTGTTATACAAAGAACAAGACAAACCTCCTCTTTGGTTTTGCATTGTTAGAGTGTCTTCAAAGTTTCCATGCGCCGTTCTCAACATAGGATTTTTGACATGGACACCAGGTGTTATCCGATACGATGTAACATATATAGAAATCGTGCGTGTTATTTACTTACGGTATACTTATTCCAGATATGTGAAGAATTAAAAACGGCGATAGCTTTACTGTCATATTTATCAAGTCCTATGAAATCGAAAGAAAATTTTTGTTGCGTCCTGTTGCAAAAACCTCTCGAGAAGATACTAATAAGATATGAGCGCATTCCTAGTAACTTCACAACTGTAATATTTCCTGATGGGACTCAACCACGCCATTCGACACTTAGCTTACCTTCATCTACGACAGGATCGTTGTTTACAACGTTGTCGCGTTATTTGTACCATAAACGCTGGATTTGGAGCGCAACACATTCCACAAATCCCAAATTACCTGATCAGTCAATATCGAGGATACTGAATACGTTGACGAGGTACTTCTAGACGTGTTAGCTTGTATTACATTTTAATTAATTTTCTTTTTTAGAATGAGAATACGTGAAGGTTTCAGTTTTGCACACTCGTCTTCTGGAGTAATAACGATGGTACTGGAGCTTTCGATGGAAACGAACGCTACATGTGTTGTACAGTATGTTCTGTTTCCTCCACACCGTGCTTGGCTAAGTGACGACTTATACAGCGGATCTGAGGAAGAAAATGAACAGTCCTCTGATGTTGAATCTGAAATGCAGATAGTCACTGAAGTTTGGATCGAACCTCAGTATGGGAAAGTATTGCCGAGTAACCCGCGAATAAGTTACATCGATCACAAACATTATTACGAAATCGCAGATGTGGTAAGCCAATTCGTTACGATTTAATGCTGTGCATTAAAAACTATTTTGTAGATAAGTAAAATTGACTTGCAATGTATAAATGCGTTATTAACGATGGAGCATTTAAGTCTAATGTGCCAAGAAAGGAATATTGATAATCAAGTCCAAGTACCTTCATTATGTGAAATTAATCCCGGAAATACGAGTCGAAAAACTCGAAAGAATAGCAGAAATGGTGCCTTGGATTCACCAGCTTTGCTTGAAAAAGGGTAAGTTGGTAATTATATTTTTATCAATTATTTAATAATTTATTTCATCAGATCTCAGTGGTATCCGATTGTAACACCGAGAATTGAACACATTCCATTTAAGTTTGATCCGATAAACATATTACCGTTATGCCAACAGACCGAGCTTCTTTTTTCCATGTTTATTGAAGGAAAAGAAAAATCGTATTTGCCGGACTGTAATGTAGATAAGGCAAACAGTTTGTTGTTAAACAATGTCATAGAACATTTAGGTCTGCTACATGACCGAGAACTGGAACTTACCAAAGATGACTCAGATAGATTTACACAAGTAGTTTTACTTAGGCATAAGAATAAACACCCGCATACTTGCCCCTTGGCAGAAACTCACCTCAACTCAGCGGCTCGTAGTAAGTTTTATAATTAGCGTTTGATAAATCTTCGACAGCGGGTAAACCATTTTTTTAATGGGTAAATCTGCCATTTTCTTGTTTTCTATAGTAGACTACAAGCCTATCGGAAATTTTCAAGGGGTCGTTTGACCCAGCATGAATTACTTATAAATAAATATTACCAAATATAACAATAACTATGCCGTCGGTTCTTGTTGGTACAGGTGAGTACACAGGTAAGCTAAACCTGTCCACCAAGGGGGGTGGTTTTTGGGTAAAACATTTTTGTACGGCATTTCTAAAGTATATTTTTGTTTTTCCGAAAATTTTGGCCCGGGTTTTGGTGATTTATTACAGTAAGGCATTTATACTGCAAGTTTCAGATCGATACATAGATAAATTTTTAATCGACGCCGTACGTACTTGCTGATACAGGGGTTAGGAATACAGGGTGCAACCCTCTATTTGTAAGTAGCGTATGGAGAGTGATTTGAACCAACATCAAATTCACTAATTTTAATTCTATTTTATAAAATAATTACATTTTTGGCCATGCCGTACATTTTTCATGAAATGTGCTTACTATAGGAAAATTAATTTCCCTCTGAAAAGTAGGATATCACGGTGAAAAATTTTTGTACAGCATTAATATATTTTGTTAATACTGACTACAATAATCAACAAAAACAAAATGCCGTACAAAAAAATTTTTCTAAATGGCTTGAAATATATTTTTGCAAATATATTTTTGCAATATTTATAAAATTATTAATTTTATAAATTTGAAAAGCTTATAGGTATATTAATTTTTTTTTTCACAAGTAAAATTTTTTCAAAATCCAAAAAATTATTAAACAATCAATAAAAAAATCTGTATTCGAATATTTTAAAAAAAATTAGGAATTATTTTTATTTTAAAATTAAAATTACCGCTTCGAGATTCTAGCTGGCCATCGAAACATCTTTCTCTGTCTTTTTTTTCTTTTCGGCGTGTAAATTTTTATGTGGTTCTATTCATGTTTATAACCGACAATCTTAAAGTTGTTTTTGTAACAAATGCACTTTTAAATTATTTTTACTAATTTTAAACATATATTTTATGCCAGTGGCTTCATCACAATTTTTGCATAAATAAATTGTTCAAACAATTGTAACAGAAGTTGCAAATATGCAAATGCTAGGGTACTGTTACTTCAAAACATATATTATATCACTGCTTTAAATTTAAGTATTTATATAGGAATTCTCATGAATATTAAATTAAATTGTTTATTATTGTTTATTTAAAAATAATACTTTCTTGCACGTCATTAAATTTATAAATTTCTCAAAATATTTACTCGGTTCTCTATACACATTTTTTTAACTTAAAAACAATGCTGTCATAATTTCTACGGTATAAATTAAATTTCTCTTGAAATTAATATGAAATATTAATTTTAGACTTATACAGTTTTGGAGAATTGTTCCAACAAATATGTACGGCATTGCAATTTTCATTTTATGTCATATTTCTGATGAAAATTTGTAAATGCTGTATAGTTATTAATGACCCAAAAATGTAGTAAAAATTTAATGAAAAATATTATCAGCTATGTAAAGTCCACTAGTTAAAAATGTACGGCATTGGGTTTTTTTAAATTTTTTTACTTATGAAAAGTCAATTTCAGCTATAATATTTTGAATATAACATTTTTACTTTATAACAAGGAATTTTCAAAATATTGTAAATTTTCACAATATATTTTTTGTTTTTTAATTCGAAAATTTAATTTGTACCATTAATTATAACCGGCCATGATTTAGTATGATAGTTTTTGGTTATATTTTATCAAAATAGTGGTTGCCGTACAGGAATTAATGATCTTATCGAAAAAATAAAACTCAGTTCCAAAATACAAGTAATTGTTTATAAACTTTTGCATTAACCATAATTTTCAGACAGCATAGTTGCTAAGAATTAGTTGGAGAGTTAAATAATCATGTGGAATCGATGCCGTACATTTTTCAATGGGGGCTAAAATAGAGGGTTGCGGCCTGCATTTCTAACCCCTGTATCAGCAGATACGTACGGCGTCACTAAAAAAGTTATCTATGTATCAACCCAAAACTTACAGTATAAAGGCCGTACTGTAGTAAATCACCAAAAACCGGGCCAAAATTTTCAGAAAATCAAAAATTTTCCTGGCTTCCGGTATTACTATTTTTGTACGGCATTAAGTCGAGATTCGTTTTTTTTTGTATAACCTATATAGTTTAGAAATGCCGTACAAAAATGTTTTGCCCGAACCCCCCCCCCAAGCCCCCCCTTATATGTTATATTGATTTATAAGTAATTCATGCTGGGTCAAATGACTCCTTGAAAATTTCCGATAGTCTTGTAGTCTATAATGCTTAACATTTTAGGCTTTCTCCAGGAAACAGAAGTAGCGACCACTTCGCAGTGGCGGTGCTTTATCAAGGGAGTATCTGTTACGCACGTTATATTGACATTTGTAGCATCTACATTAGACGATCTTAAATCTCTTACGTCGTTAGATCATACAAACATTCCAAGCTTAGCTGAGAGTATCGATAGTACCGAAAGGACTTCTTCCAGAGAAAGCAATTACAGCGATGTTCCTATCAATACATCGAATTCAGTATGTTTGCCGATTTACGTGTTTGATTGTCCTTTGTCTATGTTAGTGAACGCGTACATAAATAGTGCTGAGGATTCCACACCTGTTAAAGAAGACGTTTACGAAGACCACAGATTTAAGTTCAATGGTTTTGTGCAAGAAGACTGTGTTAAGTACGTAATTAATTATATTTTAATATTCGTTTATTAAGTAATTTACTTCAGGTTGAAAAGTGATGAAACTTGTGATATATTGGGTGATAAAGATGAACTGGAACCTCCAGAACGAAGCAACATAAAACATCACTGTAAAACTCTAGTTTTGACGCATACAAAATGTTTTACTATATCACTTTTTCTTGCCCTACATATGGGAGTATATGTTCACAGTCATGACGTACAGTCTGCTATGGATCAATGCGAAGAATCTATCACAGAAATTGATATAACAGAATATATTACCATAGTATGTGGACACGTTAAGCAGAAATGTGGGGATAAGATACCAATAAAAGAATTACATCAAGCATTTCCTTGCAGTGAACTAAAATCACTTCATATGCTCATTAAGGAAAAATTTTTCAAAATAATTAACGCATTTTTCAATCCTATTCCTACCAACAGCGAATTTTACTTCTATAAAAATTTGAGAAACATACAGTATGTAGAAGAAACTACAAGCGATAGTGACGATGAAATATCTAATACCCCATCCGAAATAGAATTCAAGTCAGATAAAGATTTTAGCATATTTTCTGAGGGGCCACATCTTTATCAAAGAATGGAAAGTGGTATTAACGATATAGTTAGTAATAGTGATGTCAACCCACTCTTTTTGCATCTAATTTGTACTTTACGGTACAATAATGGTGAGGTATCGAACACTTCCTTTCGGGTGTTGCCGACTTGTTTAGGTGAATTTTCAGGTATTTTGTTACGTGTAAAAGTTTATCCTTTTTTTTTTAGGTGAATTGATCCAAAGCTTAGACCCCTCAACGGAATATTTACATAAATCTAAACTGCAAGTAACTTTAGATATTTTGTGCCTTACTTTACCACCGGATGTTCAGAACATTATTAACGATTATTCAACTCAAGGCATGAGGACAACATCTTTTTGTTCTGATGGTTTTCAACCTAGTATACAAAGCTCCATCTCAGATACCAGCATTACATCAGAGTAAGTATGTAAAGTTAAAAAACATAATTTTTTACTGTAGTAATATCCAGAAACATTATGTATAATTTAGGAAGGAGGTTTTAGATATATTTTTAATTAATATGAATTTCACGGCAAATGAAAAGCAAAATTTCGATATAATTTTCTATGGAAATGGCTTATTTAAAAAATTTAAAGGGAAAATTTTATGCAAAAAAATCGTTAATAAACAATTTGAAAAAAATCAAAAAATTCGATTTTTTAATTTTTTTATATTTGCCTCTAGGTTTTTTTTTTGAGTAAAGATAGACATAGACATTGCTTCATAAAACAAAAGTATATAAAATTTCCTTCAAAATAAGAGGTTGTAAAGTATTTTTGGATGAAAATTGACTGATATTTTCCGCTCAAACTTAGAATTAGCCAATTTTTTGATTTTCGTCGCGTTTACCCTTGTACATTTTAATTCTCATTTTTCAATCAAAAAATCTTAATTTTTGCTTTTTTAAAATTGTTTATAAACAATTTTTTGCATAAAATTTTTTCTTTTAAATTTTTTAAAGAAGACGTTTCGATGGGAAATTCAATTCTCTACAAAAATTTCCCTATGAACTATACCGAAATTTTGCTTCGTTTTCGTGCTATATTTAAAAAGCTGCAAAAGTGCATTTTCACACCTATCTTCATTTTCAACCCTCTAATTTAATAGCACCCCGCAGTTTTTTCATTTTTAATTAACCTTTCAAACAAGTCATGTGATGAAAATCCTTGAACATCTTATTTCCTTCCTTTTTTGCAAAAAATGAGAATTAAAACGTATAAGGGTAAAAAAAACTAGACAAAAAAGTAAAAAAATCAGAAAATCCAATATTTTGCTTTTTTTTTAAATTGTTTATTAACGATTTTTTGCATAAAATTTTCCTTTTAAAATTTTTTTCACCCCTACAATTTCCACCCTCTAATTTAATAGCACTCCGCGGATGTTTCATCTAAAATGACCATTTCAACGATTCATGTAATAATATCTTGAACGTCTATCTAGTTCCTTTTAAAATCCTATAATCAATAGCCTATTAGTACCTCCACGCCGTTGTCACATTGCTTGATACGAATTTTATCGAATTTTAAATTTATTACAATACTAATTATTTTTTAGAATTAAGCATAAAGAATTTCAAAAAAGTGATAAACATTGTATCTTATGGTATTCTATGCACGCAGTTATGTCAATATTCCTTAAATTGATTGAACTTTTGTACTTCAAGTTGGAGATTTTGGTAATTTTTTTCTCGGAAATGGTTGAGTTTAGGACCCGTGTCATATAAGGTTTTTTTGTTTATTGTAACACATTCTATCGTCTATTAAAATTAAGGCAGTCAAACTTCTATCACCCTGTATATTTATTTCATTGTATTTGGTATTCCAGCTTTCCAGAGCCACTGAAGCATTTATCAGACATGCAAAAAAGATCTATTATTTCACTTAGAGAGGAAATCAAGTGGTTGTTACAGGATGAAATCTGTACGTCATTGTTGGATGTCGAATCCGTTACTGCGGAAACTTTAGGTTTTGTGATGAAACATGTTATGGAGGCAACACCTTTGCGATCGTCGTGTGTTCTGGACATTATCGATTTAAATTTTGTTTATGCATCTGCACAGAGTCATGAAAAATTTGTACAAGAGTTCTCGAAGTTAAAGTTGCCTTATGTTGATTATGTACTGTGTAAAGAGGCTGAATTACATTACTTGGTGAAAAATAATTCTCAAATTTTAAGAGATGACAAAGATAAGGATTTTGTTACGACTGATTTAAATGTAAACGGTACTGAAAATGTTAGCAATAGGGTGGATCCCAGTGCTGACATATTAATTTATTCTCGAGAAAATCCAAACAATAAAAGTGTTTATAAACACGAGGTTAATTCGCAACAGAGCGACATTTCCAGTGTAAATGGTAGTGAGCGAGGAACTGATGGAGGTTATGATGAAGATGTGAGTGAAGATTATGACGATTATGATTGGCTTATTAATTTAAACAACAAAAGGAAACACTTACCCAATTTTTGGCTAATTTTGAAAATTGAGCAAGAGGTTGTAACAGTTTACTTTCATTGTAGGTGAGTGTAATAATAATAATTATAAAACAAAAGAAAATAGAACACATTTCAATCATTTTTATTTCATGGTATGTAATAAATTTCTTATTAGATTTTTAGAATTACCAACTAATCATGTAGGTGTGTATTTGGAAATACAGCGTGACGTATGTGAAGCTGTGAGAGACCTTTGTAAGAAAGTAAACCAACTCTTACTCCTTCAGTCTCTTTACGAGACAAGAACCTGTGACTCATTGTTAGAATCTGACGATAACTGGCACAGTGACGTTTGCAGTTCCCCCATATCCAGAAACACGTCGTATTGCAGGTTAAAGAGCATGGACGGTAAGTACATGATTTCATTACAGTACTTCTTAAATTCGAAAATTTCAGTTTCAGAAAATAGTGACGAACAGGATTTAACAAATTACCCCCCCTCCTTATCAGAGGCCTCATTACATTTTAAAGCTGGATACTTTAGTTGTCCTGTTGTGTGGGAGACCCACTTCGTCTTGCATCCTCGATTAAAGACAGGACCTGGAAAATCGGGAATATCGAGAGGAATCTTAGCTTTAAAGAACATCCTTGATAAGTTTTCCGTTTCGAACAGAAACAATATGTTTGTTTACAGGGACAACCAGAAAAATGTTTTTTATTTAAGGTATATATGTTTGAAACCTGTTAAACTTAGTTCTTGCATTGGTCTGCTGTTTTTTAGGTTACATGAAAATGTTCACTCACCTAATAAGGCAGGATTGATAAGATCCAGTGAATATGAAAATGCTACAGTGTCTCGTAGCCCATCCATCACATCACTCCCTTTAGGTCAGAATAAGAACAGTTTAACGCAATCGGAACAAAGTATAACATCAGTAATATCCGTAAGTTCCCTTTTCTTTATTAAAATTATTTTAATATTGATTTTATGGGTTTAGGGTGACATCAGACCTAGAGTGAGGTCGTTTGGTGAAAAAGAAAGTAAAGATTCTCCGAATGAGGATACTTTAATTCTTAAGGTCCACGGCATAACAGAAGCAGGTACAGATGTCCAACAAGATTTGGTTCAAGTGCTGCAAAATCGTTTGGATGATGCAGTACTTGAATTTTTATCAATAATGTTAGCGAGGAATGCGATGTGTCCTTTGACTCCTGAAGATGTACATTTTATACAGAAACCTTTCCGTTTACCTGAAGTTATCATAAAGGTAAAAATTTCTCAATTACTGCTTTAGAAAACAAGTATGTTTATCATTTTACTTTTTTAGCTGACTATAAGGGACTTTGCTTTACAATGGCTGGATTCATTTGTTCATTACTTGAAACAAAATTTACTGCAATTTTTAAACATTCCTAAGTATACCGATACTCGTTCCCATTATCACTTTAAAGATTACTCGGAAAGTGAAGATTCAAACAGTTTAGTCAACGATGATAATATTTTTATTTATAACCAGGGTCAGAATCCATCGTCTGGTAATCGAGGCATAGCCTGTATTGTTCTAGCACTTGTGAATAACAATGAAAAATCCCAAACTCCAATCAAACCTATTTCTTTTGAAGAAATATTTCAGACAAAAGAGTTCGAAGAGACTGTTACCTCAGATATTCTTACAGCAAATGGTAAGTGTTTTTAGGTTTACTTTTTACAAGTATTTTTGGCATATGGAATATTTTGGCAGAACCCTTACAATATATATTTTTTTTATTTATTTGAATTCAGCATTTTGTTTTTACTAATATTTACTGAGATATACAACACTAAAATACGATATTAAATTGAAGTTGGTATAACAACAAGATAAGTTGGCTATACTGACCTTGCTGGAACAGTCAGATTTTCTGTCATTTACCATTTACTATTTATTTACTATTTGTTGTGCTGGTGACCGGTTGTTTATTTTTGCTTATTATAATTTTAATTAACATGGAGAGTATGGAAAATTACCATATACTTATCAGAAGATGTCAAATCGTTTTCTGTGTATTTTGTTTATGTCTCGATTGCGCATGTATATTACGAGTTGACGTCACAGCGAGAGAGACAATAATTTTAAATAGGACAGAAAATGTTTAAATTTTATTTTGATATTGTTCCTTTGTGATCTATTTTTCTGAAAAGTAAATTAATGGAAGTAAATATATAAGCTTTTACTACTGAACAATAATAGCAAATTCAATTTTTGGAATCTGAGGTAACGACCCTATTGTTTGCCGAAAATTGAATTTGATAGTTTTTAAATGGTCCATTCGAGCATCAGACAGTTACCTCCAATTTTTTTAGATGAATGTCCTGATACTTATTTGGAATTCCGGCTTTGGAAACAGGGACGGGTAAACATAGAAAATTTGTCACAGAAATTGAAAGGTGCTGTATCCCAAGCATCCTGGGACATTGTTACTGAGTATTTCCTTCTTAAAAAACCATTGTGTATGGAAAATGTGATAGCCGATTATTTTTCAAAAAAAGGTCCAGTTAGAATTAATTCGTTAGACATTGATTTCTCCAAGGAAATAGAATTTAACTGCATTTTGGAGTTAAATACTGGTAAAAATGTGAAGGAATCTATATGTAATTCTGGAAAACGAAAAGAACATTTTTTGCCAAGAAATAAAAGAAATAGACGTGTCATTCCGCCTAATACAAAAACGATGAGATCTGTTATATTTGATGAAACAACAAGTGACACGGGAGTTTTATCCGATGCTTACTCTAAATACTTGCCAAATTGGTTGGAGTTTGGATTTTCAATCAATACCCCTTCAGTAAAAAAGCAGCGTATCAATCTGGCAAATCGTCATTTACCCAATATCGTTATTGGAGAACTAATGAATATGCTTCCCGATTCTCCAAAAGCTTTCAGTGCTATTCCAACCAACTGTTTGAAAAACAGAAGCGGAGATATATTTGTACCTTACATAGCTTCTAACTTGATTCAGAAGTTCGTAATTATATCACGAAATTTTGATCAGTGGTTGTCTACCATTTCAGTGAAAGATTCCGAGTGCCCCGATACAATAAGTCCCCAGGTTCTTAAACATTCACAAAAATTTGTACCTGCCATTGCAAACAACACCTTTATACCTAGACAAAAAATTTTATGGATATCCGTCGAGACTGATAATGTAAGTAATAAAAATATTTATGTTTGTAATTTTTATTATATTGTTTTTATGTTTAGATTATCGTATTCACTTACAACTGGGCAAAAGATAGCATAGACAAACTAATATCAAGTTGTTCAAATTTAGGCCAGTGGTTATGCGTTCGATCCTGTTTCTTAAATTCTGTTACCTCACAAAAATTAGGTTTATTTCACAATCAACCGTTAACAAGAAAATGTTTTGTAAGTATAAAATGTTTTCAAAACAAGTCCCTATAATAACATGTTTATTTATAATTAGATGATTCCAAATAATCCTTACTCTGCTTTAATTGGTAACTCCGAATGTATGATGACTTTCCCAAAGGAACATTCTCACAGGAGGATTCAGCCAGCATATAACTTGCCCTCAACGTTGGAAGCATTTAGGGATAATTTTCACAATTCCAAATATGTTTCCGCTGATCCTGTCGTAACTTTCACTTTAGAAATGAGGGAAATGAAACTACTGGAGAAAAAATCAAGGGGTCAGGAAATTTATGACATAAAACTATATTTTTTATAACGAGCATGCCTTTCTTTAGATGAAATGAAAATTCTTCATGCCATGTACCAGTCAAGAACAAGTACAACGACGGTATCGCACATACTTTTACTCATGCAGAATTCAAGGATTGTTCACTATTGCCACACACCTCTTCTGTTTTTGCCAAGGTGGCGTTTAAAATCAGCAGCGACTAGAGATCATTCATTACATCCGTCTCAGGCTGTGCAATTGGCAGATAAAATGGCTTCCGAAGAGAAAGAAAAGTGGCATAATGAACTTTGTTATGGATTTTTTATAGAATATCGTCACTATTTACAGACCCTTGGTTTTATGCCACTGCAAATTGATAATTCTTCAGATCAAACGGGGTAAGATTTGTTAAATATAATCGCTTTGAGATATTTTTATTTTTTATTTGTATAGTTATTAATTTAGCTATTTTGCAGGATGTGGACCAAAGATAAGTCTTCTTACAACAGTGTTTTTTATATTCAAAAGACAATACTTGGAGGTATACTTATATTTACTGTGGAATTTAATGAACCATTTTTTATTACAAAACTGCATGCTATAGAATGCAACAGGCTGCAAAATATAAGTTCCAGAGCTTCAATAAACAGGGTAAGTTCAATTTTCCTAAACATTATAGTATTTTCTCTGTTATTTGTAATGTAATTTTTCAGTTTACTGTAAGTTTTTTGGACGAATGTGATAGGGTAAAAATTTTGATGCACCTCCACTCTTTTACATACGACTATCATCTTCGGTGTATTTACAATTACATTTCAAATAACCCAGGTCTCAATAAAGTATGCGAACGATATAACGTCCACCAATTCCTTGATGATTTCTTAAAATATTATAATAAAGCTCCCAATTTTGCGCGGAACTTGGTTCACACAGGTAAAAAAAAATATACTTGAAATAATCTCACACAACTAATAATTAGATCTCGTTACAGATACATTGACCATAAAAAACTTAGTGACTGAAGGACAGCAGTTGTATGAATATTTGTTGTCAAATGTTAGCCAGTATAACTTCAAAGTTTTCGAGATGGATCTCTGGGAAGGAGAATCAGAATTTATTTTGGTTCAAGTAACCAGTACACCGCAAGTCTCTTATAAGGATTCTCAAGATCGCCACCATACTGACGATTTCGACATAACATTAGTTGTCTATAACCTTTGCACACCCTATCATCCTTCAGATAATGTTCTACACTTGAAATACTATTTAATATTAACTTCGAAACGGTAAGTAATTTTATTTTTATATGATTAAATTTCTCAATTGCTTCATAAATATTGTATAACATTAATTTTTTAGGGAATTATATCCCAAATGTGAAGTAGAAGACAAGCTGGGCAAATTTCGAACGGTGTCTTCTAATGCGAGGAGCCTTTCTGCAATGGGAAAAGCCCCCAGCGAGCTTGAAACTAGCGTGGAGAAAACAGTAAATTCTGAAATAGACTGTGATATTACAAGTTCTGACGAGCATATTAGTTTTTCTTCCAAGAAACCGAGTAAGGATACTTTGAACAACGAGGGATCATCAAGCCAACAATCAAATTCAGTACCCTACATTGAAATTTATCAAGAATCTGTTAATTACTTAGGTTACTATTCATCTCACGAGCAGCTGATGCAGCAGCTTATTTTAGACAAAGCTAACACCACACAGAAGCATATTAAGGACATGGTTGCGAAAGGTACAGAAATATTAACAGTCATTCGAGAAATATTTTTATTCCTCTTTTCAGGTATGGTGCATTGCAGGACCCATTTGCTGTGGAACAGGCTGATTTCCCCCCAGGAGACAAACAACTTGACGTATGAAGAATTCATGGAATTGAAAAGTTTAGCAAAGCTGGAACATCTCTGTAATGTACACCCAAATTTAGGTCCTCTGCTTAATCAGCCTCTGACTTGGTATCAAGGCCTTGCCAAATTGCTTCTAGTGAAGTACGTTGATCAAAGCAGAAGTTTCATTTCTGCTGATGGAAATATTCAGCACTATGTTATTTTGCATCCGCGGTACTTTGGCGCTTTCATGCTACTGTCTATGGACTTGCACACGTCTAGAGGGGTAAGTTTTCTATCGAGTACCGAAAATATTTAATTTTTTTTTTATTGATTTTTTTCATAGGATTTATACGCAGTGTACCGAGAACCTCATAAGCACGAAGACGCCGATCTCTGTTTAGCTTATCAGAAATCTCTGTTAGATGGATTTATAAACTGTATTTGTTTTTATTTGTGGTCCGGTATGATTTCTAATTAATTGCTAAGTAAGACAAAATTTCGAAGACAATTTTTTATTAGAACTATGTGCAGTGTGTTTTAATAATGGTATGTTTGTGTGAAAGTATGTTTAAGTTTATCGACTGTTTGCGAGAGACCTCATTTTTCCAGTTCATGTTATCAGGTTATATTTTTTTTAATACTCAGTATGTTTGTTATGTTTTATTTAAATAGGATAATTTTTCCATACTAACACTTTGTAACTCTTCTCAGAGCTGCGAGAATTAGTTTTATAGCCAAATAAGGAACGGGTTCGTAAAGTGTTAAAATCTCACGGCCGGTTACTTGTTTATTTCCGAGTACCTAGAAACATTACCTGGCGCTTTTTATTTTGGAAAGACTAAGGTAATTTAATTTTAAAATGTGATTTTTTTTGACGGTAAAATAATTTGTTGTTTTTGTTTGTTGAGATATATTTTTTATTTATAACATTTAAACATTAAAGTATGTGTAAATTCTTATAGGTATAATTGTTATGAAAAGGCTCAGTATACTGTGATATATTTGTACAAATTAAAATTACAAGGTGCCTGACAATTTTAAATTATAAGTATACTGTCAATTTTGTAAAAATGTTTTTATTTTAGAAGTTACATACATGATTTATACAAAAGTGTGCCATGTTAAAATGCAAATAAATGAGAATAACAAGTATTCCAATTATATTTCCTTATTCCTTATAACTGTTGTAGAGGTAATTTTAATTTAATAGGGGATAATATTTTAAGTTTACTTTGTTCTTGTTTATTACTCGCTACATAAGAATCCATAATTAACGAAATTTCTATAGACATATCAATTTAGTCCAAAAGGATACGGATAAACCCTAAATAGGCTTAATTTCTAAGTTTCAAATTACCCTAAAATTAAAAAATTTAAATTTTGATGGGATAGTATTTATACATCGCCTAATTTAAATGTGATTCCGGTTTTAATGTTACTTTTACGTCCAACAATATAACAGTAAGATTCTAAGATTTGCGTATATCTACTGAAAAAATATTAAAAACCACTAGGTTTTGAATTCAAATAATCGGCGGGAACGAACTGTGAAGTTGTTTTCAAATTCTTAGGTTATGATGAGACATAAATTTAAAAATATTCTGCAATAAACCAAAAATATTTTCACAGCACTGCACTAAATCTAATCACAATAAGGCACAAATTTATTATAGAAATATGAGTTTTAAGTATTACAAACAAATTAAAAATAGTTCATGTTTATTTGAAATTTGAATACAATTTCACTAGTTCTGTACTAAGCCGCGATTTCAGCCACGAAATTTGAATAATTCTAAATTTTTCGAATTTTCACCCCCAAGAACGTCGGTGACAACATTTTAAAATTATGGCGCTATGTCCTGTACACATTTAGTTTCGCGCAACTCACTCGGTTTCAAAAATACAATACCTATGTACGTTTTCGCGCAACTCACTCTGTTTCAAAAATACAATACCTATGTACGTTTTCAGCCACGAAATTTGAATAATTCTAAATTTTTCGAATTTTCATCCCCAAGAACGGCGGTGACAACATATTTAAAATTATGGCGATGTTTCGCATGGTATGTACTAGCTATGTCTTGTACACATTTAGTTTCGCGCAACTCACTCGGATTCAAAAATACAATACCTATCTATGTACGTTTTCACGCCGCGAGTGTCCACACGGACCATAGAGTATGCCTGGCTTGGATGTTTTCTATAAGTCTCGCTATTGGTTGCTTTCGATTTGTCATTCTACTAAGGAGAAAGTAACAAAGGTGAGATAAATCAAGTTTGCTATGTTATGTATCTGTAGAAGTGATTTATCACACCTCAGTTGTATGACAAATCAAAAGCAACCAATATCAAATTTATTGAAAATGTCCAGGTCAGGAATTGTCCGTGGTCCGTGACCCATGGCATAGAACAGACTTACGGAAATTGCATACAAATTTCAAATATATATGATATTCCTTAATTTGTTACTTAACTCATTTTTAATATAGCTATGCGCTTATTGTGGTTAAAATTTAGTGTAGAATTGTAAAATATATACTGCGCGGTCGAAATTATAGAGAATGACTAATCGCTAGCTTTTGGACTAGTAAGGGGGATGAAGCGTGCCGGGAACGAAAATCCATTGGCGTGTCTGCGTAAAAGGCAACAAGATATAGAAAATATTGAAAAAAGATAATAAAACATAACATCTAATATTTTTTACGGTTTGCTATAATCGGCATTTTGATCAATTTTAATTATTACAGCATTTTAAAACGTCCCAGTTGTGTTTTTTTAATTTATAAATTTATTATAGCCATGGAATTAGACCCC